TGTGATGCTCCACGAGGACGACGATAATAAAATCAAATATTTACTCAATGAAGATACCTCCCTTAAAATTAAACGAGACCCAACCAGCACCTTGGAACGTAAAACAACGGCAATCATTGCCAAGTCATCAAATCCAAAGGAAGAGCAATACCTGATCAAACCAAGGGCATCAAAACCACCAAGACTTTATGGGCTACCAAAAATTCACAAACCTAATGTCCCATTAAGACCCATAGTTAGTACAGTAGGCTCTGCAACGTACAAATTAGCTCAATACGTAACGAAACAAATACAGCCCTACATCGGTAGGACCTCTTCGTTCATCAAAAACTCTGAACATCTCGTAAATATAAGTAAAGATATTAAGCTTAACCCTAATGATATTCTCGTAAGTTTTGATGTGATCTCTCTGTTCACGAGGGTTCTGGTCAACGAGTCAATTAAATTACTCGACACTCTGGTAACGAACAAAGGTTTAGCCAAATATATTACAAGAGTAGCTGAACACTGTCGAAATAACACTTCTTGTGGCAAGGTGACTTCTATAAACAAAAGGAAGGAGCAGCAATGGGCTCTCCATTGTCTCCTGTGATAGCGAATTTGTACATGGAAGATTTTGAAACAAAAACAATAGCTTCAAGCACACTAAAACTATCTGCTTGGTTTAGATATGTGGATGACACATTGGTGGTCTGGCCACACGGCCAAGATACACTGAACGCATTTCTAATAATCTCAATTCGCAAAACCCATCCATCCAGTCACCATGGAAGTGAAAGCTGACAGAACTCTACCATTTCTGGATATTCTCCTCGGATGGGGTCGAAATGGTAAAATAACACACTGGTTACCAAAAGAAAATGCATACTGATGCCTATATTCTTGGTTCTTTTGGTAAAGTCACATAGAAACTGAAAATAATGATATTAATTAATTAAAATATAATAAATTGAAAATAATAAAATATTTGATTATTTGCAATTTATTATTTGCATTTTTTTTTATATATATATATTTTCTTGATTATTTAAAATTTTTAGTTTTCTATCTACGTAACTTTACCGAAGGAACCAAGCATTTGAATTCCTGCAGTCACGAAAAAGTCAAAATACTTACGACTATCTGAATGCAGTCAGACTATCACCCCGCACAGAAATCTGCTCTTATCAGGACACTCATTCATCGAGCTAAGAAAGTGTCGGATGGTGACAGTCTGAGAAATGAAATTCAACATGTTAAAGAAGCGCTGCAAATGAACGGTTACAATGATGCACAAATCAATAGGATATTGAATACCAAAACCAAATCATATAACAAGAGCATTGAAACTGCCCAAGTAATTAAAACGACCAAAATATACTGTACATTAATAGGAGTAACTGATAAACTAGCCATATGTTCGGAAAAACAAAACATCCAAGTCAGATTTGGCATGGTACATGAAATACAGAAATTATCTGGTACAAAAGATGTATTACCGAAGTTATCAACAGAAGGTGTGTACAGGACTAACTGCACGTGTGGTAAATGTTATGTTGGCAAACAGGACGAATGATCAGCACGAGACTAAAAGAACATCAGAGAAATATTAAATTCTCCCAAATACAACTGTCAGCAGTAGCAGAACACACGCGCCAACAAGGACACTCAATTCATTTTGATAATGTTTAAGTTTTGTGCAAAACTAGCTACTACTGGCCAAGACTAATTAGAGAATCTATCGAAATTTAAAGAAATCAAAATAACTTTCACCGTTCAGATAGCTACCGCCTTAGTGCTGCATGGAAGAGAATCATCAAATAATACATTATTTAAATACATGCCTACAAAGGGTAGCGTACTTCAATAGGGATTACCGTTGGTAGGGCTATTTAAACAAACACAATTGACAGGAAGGACAAGTTCAAAGGGTGAGAGACGAGAATTCAACAGACCTGAAAAAACATTATGTGAAGCACATCCAGTCAGGCCAACAACACAGTTAGACACTTCCTGGCAGATTACGAATTTCAGAAGAGTGTTAAATTTCGTGTTCAACCTTTGGATTGCACATACCAGCATAGATAGAATGAAAAATACGAGGTACACGGTCTTTATATACATACGTGACTTTACCGAAAAAAACAATGAGTAAGTTCAAAGGGCTCACATAATGTACATGCATAATGAACATTGCCTCAGTAATTCCCCCCCCCCCCACATTGTGATCACCACATCTACGCATTTATATAAGGAACCAAACAGTAATACTTCTCCACAAATCTGGCTGTCGCCTGATGAAGCTAGTTGTAATTACTGGTGAAACGTGGTGAAATGTCGTATTCAAGATTTTAATTGTTGTGGCTTGGCTCTCCAACACACCGGTGTGCTGTACTAGTGACGAATTGGCATGTTCTGTTTACGTGACAACCCTTACTAGTTGGCTGTGTCGGGTGGTGGTGGGTTTTGATGACACATTTATATAATTACGCGATCTAACCCAAAAAAACCTCTTATGGATGATATTTGTCGCGAAAGCCTACGTGTTAAAAAGAAAGTTTAAAAGTACGTATTCTTTGGGTCTTTCGGTAAAGCCACGTAGATAGAATAAATAATAAAAATAATAACAATATGACATTTTGATCGCAACACAAGCAATCGTCATCAGGTGAAAAATATAGTGGGAGAGCTGTTGATAATATATGGTGGGAATGCTGCTAAGGCAAGGAGTTTAAAGGTTTGAGATGGGTGTAGCCCAAGGGTCAGTGGGCGGGGTTAGAGATGAAATTTGCATGTAAATGTAAGATCAGAGAAATCTTGACAAACGAAGCTGTGGGGGTGGCCATTGTATCGTGAGATATTCGCATCTCAGTGTAAGAGAGATTAGCATGTCAATGTATGAAATTTCCTTGTAATTGCAAGCTCGGAGAGAGCTCGGAAAGAGCCATCGCCAGATGTAGGTGGAAAAGGATGGCAAGCCAATATTTACTAATACAGCTAACGGTGGCTGTGTTAGTGAATGTAACTCAGAGAGTCGAAAATAACTGCTAACATAGTTAGGTAGGGAGGGAACATCACAGCCAGTTATGACCTAAACTGGTTAATGACGTCCTTCCAATGATTGCTCAGTTTGTACCCATCTTCTCGGTTGAAATTGTGTCTGTGTTTATATATCTGGATGGCTTCATCAACAAACCTTTGCTGATAGCCAGTGGGCTTGCAGAGTACCCTCGTCTTGGCAAAATCAATTTCATTTATGCCCACAGCGTTAAAACAATGATCAGCCACGGCTAATTATTGGTCCTACCGTGTTTCAGATCTGCCTTATGTTGACGAACCCGGTCCGAGACATGTCGCTGAGTTTCCCCAATGGAACTGGTGCCGCAGACACAGCTTAGTTTGTAGACACCGGGGTATTGCATGTCAGGGATCACATCCTTCACAGATGGGATCAAATCACTAATTTTAAGTACTGTGTTGAATCGTACCTGGATCTTGTGTTTGCTCATGATTTTGGAAATCTTTTTGGTGACCCCTGCTATGTATGGCAAGATGATGGTTTTGATCGGGTCCTCAGATGGCTCCTATGGATGTGTTTAGGGGTGACTGCGGTGGCTGATCATTGTTTTAACGCTGTGGGCACACACAATTGATTTTGCCAAGAAGAGGGTACTCTGCAAGTCCACTGGCTATCAGCAAATATTCATTCATGAAGCCATCCAGATATATAAACACAGACACAATTTCAACCGAGAAGATGGGTACAACCTGAGCAATCATTGGAAGGACGTTATTAACCAGTTTAGGTAATAACTGGCTGTGATGTTCCCTCCCTACCTAACTATGTTAGCAGTTATTTTCGATTATCTGAGTTACATTCACGAACACAGCCACCGTTAGCTGTATTAGTAAATATTGCCTTGCCATCCTTTTCCAACTCCATGTGGCGATGGCTCTTTCCGAGCTCTCTCCGAGCTTGCATTTACAAGGAAATTTCTTACATTGACATGCTAATCTCTCACAATACAATGGCCACCCCCACAGCTTCGTTTGTCAAGATTTCTCTGATCTTACATTTACATGCAAATTTCATCTCTAGCCCCGCCCACTGACCCTTGGGCTACACCCATCTCAAACCTTTATAACTCCTTGCCTTAGCAGCACTCCCACTATATATTCTCAGCAGCTCTCCCACTATATTTTTCACTTGATGACGATTACTTGTGTTGCGATCGGAACGTCGTTATATTGTTATTATTTTTATTATTTGATCTATCTACGTGACTTTACCGAAAGACCCAAAGAATATGAATTCCGCCAGTCACGAAAGCTTTAAGTCAAGATTATATATGTAACTTCCTGTCGATTTGTCAACACTAAATGCAAGCTTGGGCAAGGCAGAATAACAACAAGAACAGTCCCAGACCACACCAAGACAACAACACACAGTCCCTCAATTAAATTGCACATTAAAATTAAACTATCGATACACAGATAAGGATCAAAGTTAGAAATCAACTGGGACAGCCCTATAGAATCGAATCACAATCCTTTACATTAAGCTGTGAATGCGCTACCACTGGGCCATGTCACCAAATCTGAGTGTGCGACGTGGAAGAGGGTGACCGCGCATCGCAAGCGTGCGCACGGACGCAGCACCAAGCCGCGTGTTCACGAGGGAGGCCGCTCATTTGCGGGGGTGGCCACTCATTCGCGAGGGTGGCCGCTCATTCGCGAGGGTGGCAGCTCATTCGCGAGGGTGGCCGAGCGTTCTCGAAAGTGACCGCTAGTTCGCGAAGGTGGCTGCTCGTTCGCGAGGGTGGCCGCTCGTTCGAGAGTGTCGCCGCGCGTTCCAAATGGTCGCCGCGCGTTTCAGAGGGTGTCCGCGCGTTCCAGAGGGTCGCCGCGCGTTCCAGAGGGTCGCCGCGCGTTCCAGAGGGTGGCCGCGCGTTCCAGAGGGTGGCCGCGCGTTCCAGAGGGTGGCCACGTGTTCGAGAGGGTGGCCGCGCGTGTCGCCACAGGGCCCTGCACGCGTGTGGCCCGGAACCAAGATGCCCGGACGCATGGGGAACATCTACCGCACCGAGCACGGTCTCAAGGTGGCGCCCACGCTGCACTGCGCATGCACAAATGGAGCAGTGTCCACGCACGCACAAAGGCAGAGATCCCCCGTGTATCCTGAACAGACTTTTGGGGCAAGTGCTGTTAGCGAGCACCTATGAAGGCCGGCACGGCACACGAAGGGGGTGGGTGGCCAGCACCATGTTGGCCTCCTTTGTCTCCCTAGTGACGATGTTTAGACACCACGCCAGGTACTCATTTGAAGTTGAGTCGACCTAGGGGAGGCCCAGGACCGGTTCATATTATCATCACTGTTGTTGGCTGTGAGCGGGAATCAATCTCGGGTTGCAGGGTTCGCTAATCGCTACACTACCACTCCCCGCTGCACTACGACACACATGCACACATTCACAACAACCGCCATTCGCCACTTTGTGGCGGTGACGTCACCACGGCGCTTGTGCCAGGCTTTGTGCACATTAAAACCACGTGAAGTGTCGAACGCCCGCTGGCAGCAGGTCACAGGGCAAACCCAGGTGCTATGGGTCAACTGACTGACATGACTGGCCGATGCACCACCTGTGCCCCTACTGTGCCAACTTGCTGCGTTTTAGCCGCCCGGCGCTCCGTTCCTTGTTGTGAGCGGCGCTCCTCTGCCCTCCATTGTTGCTGGTGCCTCCAACTGCCCAGTCGTGTCCTTCACGAGCCTCCTGCAAAGAGGCCGATCTTGACACCGCTGGTGCCAGTCATCAGCAAGTCCATTCAGTTCCACATCCTCTTGTACCACATCACTCCATCTCTTCTCTAGCCTGTGCCATGCCCGTTTAGCCCCCTCTATCCGGCTGATTAAAAGCTGTTTGGGCATGCGGGCTCTACATAACCCAGCCAACGCAGCCTTGCCTGCCGGAGAAGCTCACCGATGGGACTTTGTCCAGATCTTTCAAGAATTTGTGAGCTCCTCATACAATCCAGTCTGGTTAAACCCAGGATGGATTGTAGGCGGGCCAGCCTAAATGTTTATAACCAGCGAAGATGGTCCTCTATTGCAAGCATAGAGAAAGGAGGGCATGACCGTGGCCGAGAAGACGAGAATCTTCGTGTGGAGTGACAGACCAGAAAGCTTCCACACAGCGTTACGCAGCCGATTAAAAGATAATGCCGCTCGACTGATTCGGAGTGAAACCTCTGCTGTCAAACTGGAGCCGATCATGAGCACACTGCCCAGGTAGGGAAAGCTCTCCACTCTCTCCACAACTGCCCCATCACCAATTGGGAGTTGTGGAGGGGGAGTGCCTGATGGTACAAAATACCCAGGCAGGTGCTTAGTTTCAGTGGGGTTGATGGTAAGGCCCCACCTCTTAGTGGCACGCTCCAGGTTCGGCAGCAGCCCTTCCAACTCCTCCTCTGAGTGAGCAGCAATCACCAAATAATTGTCATACATAACATGGTTGACCAATAGGGAGCCATCCCTTGACCGCACCTGGGCATCGATCAGCCTCCCATTATATCTGTGCCAGATGGAAATTCCTCCGGTACAGCCATCGAAAGCTTCATGAACTACGTGGTCGAAATAGATGTTACAAATTTTATAACATAAAATTCCGAGCAACAATTGTCCATCTTACCTTCCAGAGTTTTTTAGCATTGCTCGCAGGTGAAATGTGGTGCCCAGGGTTTGTATTGATCCCCGACTGGCATGCCGAAATATGCCTTGCAGGCCTAACACATCTTAGCAGATGCTTCCACAGAGTACTTTTTCGCTCGTCTTGATAAATTGGCCGCATACATCACAAAATGCATCTGCCAGATGCTTGCAGCCTCTTGATGCCAGATTCAGAAAAATGCAGTTATGTATCCACTTAGGCAGCTGGAACTAAAATGAACTGGTGGGCTTAAGGCCCCTGTATTTATACTATTTTTATTACTGGGAAGTTCTAGAATGTTCTAGAAGTTACTCCAAGTTTACTCAGCACTGAATCTGTCTGGAATGTTCTGGAAAATAGGTAAATTTCAAAATATCACTGTCCTGGTCACAAGCAAAGTTTGTGGGGGATAATAGCCATTTTCTGTACTTTTGAGGCATAAGCAATTAGGAAATAACACTTACTACCCAGGAACACAAATAAATTGTTACACAGTGTAATGTGGGAGCCAGAGGACATCGCTGTCGCACCCCAAGGTGAACAGGGAATGGCTCCGACTTTCGGCCACGTAGTTTTACCCGGGCCCGCTCGCCATCGTGAAGGGCCTCAATGATCCTGAGCAGAGAGTCAGAGACTCCGAAAGCATGAAGAATAACCCAGGGTCAATAAAGCATAGATTTAGGTCCGTTGGGAATTCTCTACACTTTTGTTGTAGCAGATGGACAGAAAATATGGCATATGCGCAGGACCGCCCTTTCCTGAAACCACATTGGGGCACCGCAAGCCTCTCCTCAGCGTGCCTAGCAAGGCGATGTTGAATAATCCTTGCCAGGACCTTTCCCGGCACACTGAGGAGGTAGATGCCCCTGTAGTTGTTACAGTCTGTGCGGTCCCCCTTCTTAAAGAGGGGGACCACCAGGGCACCTTCCAATCCTGCAGAACCCATCCAGTGGTCCAGACTGTTATTATGATGTCATGTAGGGCAGTCTGTGCAGAAACGCCACCCTCCCTCAGCATTTCGCTTGGGAGATCATCTCTGCCCGGTGCTTCTCCTGGTCTGAGACTGGATTGCCTTCTGTACTTCCTCAACAAATGGCACCTCAGCCAGCCACTCACAGGGGGTGACTACTTCTTCCAATATTTGAGGCACCACAGCCTCAGCAGGGTCATCCCAACTTTGCCACATGATGTTTTTCAGGCTGAAGGATTTCCCTTCCCCCATGACTTCACAGAAATGCTCAGAAAATCTGAAAACCTGTTCCTGGGGGTTGGAGATCGAATCACATTTCCTTCCCCGAATGATGGTGATAGGTGTGGCGCTGCAAGTTACTTTTTTGATGGAGTTAAGGAGTGATTTCTGATCTTGGGCTACTGAGGCAGACTCCATCTCCTAAGCAACCAGCGACCACCACCCATCCTTGCAGTGCTTCACGGCTCTCCGAACCTCTGAGCGAAAGCTGCGGTAAACTTCCTCGCTCTCTGACATGGGATGCTGTAGACGGTGAGAGTGGGCCTGTCGCTTTTTCTCAGCCAGCCTGTCAACCAGGGTCTCTGGGGAGGTTTGGACCGTGTACCCAAAGCAGCCATTGCAGCTGCATGAGCATCACAGGAGTGGAGGACGATGCGCCAACCGCAGCTGCAAGCGATGAAACTCTCGCTTGCAACTTTCATCAGCTAGCTGAGACCAGGCTACTGTGGGTTTGAATGGTGTCCTGGGTGTACACCCTCCACCAGAGTGGAAGAATGGCAGGCATATTTTACAGATGACACATGAACACACTAGTTTCCACACACAAACATATGCAGCAGTATCTATATACACTCGTATATGCCAACCACACACTTATGCACACGCACATATGCATGCAGACTCGTTTGTACACTATCCAGACAGTTAAGAAACAAAAATAATTGACAAAAAATGAACTCTTGAAATGCGACCTATTTATTAGACACCTCATGGAGGTTGATTGCCGTGTGGATGGTGTGATTGACCTGTGCGTGCCGGCTTGTGTGTGCATTGATGCGCAGGTGTGGAGGGTGAACACCAAGTATAACGTGCTGTACGTGCACGGCTCCATCCCGGGCCACAAGAACTGTTTGGTCAAAGTGAGTCCTGCAGTTTCCTCCACTTGCAATGACTTCCTTGCTGGTGTACCTAGTCATTTGGATATTGGCTGTCTGTGGGATAGGTGGTTGGGATGTATAAACATCGCCATTCGGGAGACAAAGGCGGTCGGGCGTGGTGCTGGCCACCCACCCCCTCGGGTGCCATGTCAGCTTTCATCGGTGCTCGCTAACAGCACTTGTGCGTGCCTATACGCGCGTGCTTGTGTTTGTCACAGGTGCGGGACACCATCCTGCACAATCGCTTGAAGTTCAACGAGAACCCGCCCTTCCCCACCTACTTCGCCGATGGGGAGGAGGAGCTGCCTGAGGAGTTGTTTGACGAGGAGCTCTTCAATTTCGACCAGCCGTCCATCACCTTTTGAGAGCCCGAGCCCCGCTCTGCCCACACACAGCTACTACAGACACACACCTACTCGACACACACACACACAGCTACTACAACAACAACCGCCATTCGCCACTAAGTGGCGGTGACGTCACCACGACGCTTGTGCCAGGCTATGTGCACCTTGAGGCCACGTGAAGTGTCGAACGCCCGCTGGCAGGAGGTCATGGGGCAGACCCAGATGCCACAGGTCGACTGACTGAGACGACTGGCTGATGCAGCTACTGCACACACACAAACAACGACTACAGACACAAAAAAGACAAAGATCCCCCGTATAACCATAACAGACTGTTGGGGCAAGTGCCGTTAGCGAGAACCTATGAAGGCCGGCACGGCACACAAAGGGGGTGGGTGGCCAGCATCACACCCGGCCACCGTTGTCTCCCGAGTAGCAATGTTTAAATACCACATGAGCTATTAATTTGAGGCTGAGTTAACCTAAGGGAGGCCCAGGGCCGATTCAGATAATGTCACCGGTGTTGGCAGTGAGCGGGAATCGAACTAGGGCCACTGGCTTTGTAGCGCAGCGCGCTAACCGCTACCCTACCACTTCCCACTGCAGACACCCACACACACAGCCATCCGTCTCTTTCTCAGCCTCCGAGCCCTGGCCTAGGTGCACACACACACTATCCTGGCCTAGGTGCGCACACACACACACTATTCTGGCCTAGGTGTGCACACACACACACATACTATCCTGGCCTCTCCACAGATAAAGACAGATCCCCGTTTAGCCTTTAATAGACCGTTGGGGTAAGTGCTGCAAGCACCTATCAAGGTCAGCACTACACCCGGCCCCCTTTTTCTCCGCAGTGCTGATGTTTATACACTGCATTAGGTACTCGTATAAGGCTGTATCGACCTAGGGGAGGCCCAGGACCGGTTCAAATATTTTGGTCGTGAGCAGGAATTGAACTCGCGTTGCCGGGTTCGTAAGCACACACACACACGCACAGCCCCACCGTCGCCCCTGCCATGGCAGACCAAGCAAAGGCTTCACTGTTGTATTCGGCATGCAGTCGTGCATCAAGATATCCATTTTTATGCTCAATACATTCTCGGAATTGTGTGTGAGAATCTATTTTGGATTTGTAGAATCAAATGTAAATGTTAACATTGAGGTTAATGGCGCGAGTCCAACTACCTCGGAGAGAGAATTGAGAAATGGCACGCGACGTAAAACAAATCAGAATGGTGTGTTGAACGTATTTCGCACCGTATGTAGCCAACCGTGCTAATCAGGAGATGTGGGTGAAGGACAACAAACTAAACACAAAAAATCAGATCGAAAGAAATTAGTTTTCAATTTAGATTTACAAGTGCATAGCTCCAACGGCTTCCTAATATTGGAGAAATAATATTTAAACCTGATGGTTTCAATGAGCTATGAAGCTCTTTTTCACAGATGCCCAGTATGTCCAGAGTGTTCCAGACGGCCGCAGAAGCGCATCTGAGAGCACGACTGCGAACCGTGACAGTTCACCTAATGGAGGCGTTCTGCTGTCAGCCTGCGTTCTGCTATCCGCCTGCGCGTTCTTACCCGTTTGGGGCGAGTGAATGCCGACGAGAGATGAAAGCGAATGAAAGCCACCTGGAGCCCGCCACGCTGCCGTCACTAGAGGGCGCCTTCGTGTCGAGTGGCCAGAGGTCGCCCTTGAGATGTTTCTCGCCGTGTTCGGGTTTGTCCGTTGGGGGACTGTGGAGCGCCACAGAAGCGGACCCGCGCGGAGGCAGAAAACGGAGGCAGATCATTCCAAACGGAAATTGGTAAATGGCAAAAAAAGACTTAAAATTAAAAGGCACCGCTGGGATTCGAACCCAGGATCTCCTGTTTACTAGACAGGCGCTTTAACCATCTAAGCCACGGCGCCGCCCTGTGGAAGGCAGCTCAAATTGTGATTAAGTCTTGCTGAGGTGATCCCGAGTTTTTGGACGCCCATAGCGCTGGTAATCCACGCCGTGCAAGTGGCGGGGATATTTTTGTTTTTTTAACCATACTTCACCACGCTGGTCAGCGCCTGTTGGCGGAAGGTGGGGAGCATAGACGCAGGAGCAGAGTGCAGGACATTGGACGATGTTAGACCGCCCTCTGCCGACCGTGACTCTGACAACGCGCGTCCAGTCTTTCCATAACAAACATTCTATGGCATTAAACCTATTGATACATTGTTTTACATGTTTAAAAAAAACTTACATTTAATACTAATTTAATATATCCCCAATTATCGGCAACATACTAAATAACTTGATGCCGACCCGTGCACAGCAATTCATGGCGCCTAGCCACGCAGAATTGACCACGGGTGGGGACAGTGAATTGGTGCTGTCCATTGAGATGGCGCACGCGGTTGGGAATTGACATCGACATGCAGCGTTGTTCACGTTTGAGAGTTCATCGTGTGGTCATACCCGTTGATTTCATGTTGTCCTTGATTTTCTGAGAATGTGTTTAGTTATTTAAATGTGTCGTTTGATGTTACCGATAATTGAGGATGTCAAATAAGAATGTAAACATTTTAAAGATACATTTAAAAAATCAGACAGCAATACATTGCATGCCATATCTAACCCTACAATTTTTTTATAAAACATGTTTGATCCAAATGTCGAGATTTTTTTTAGGGAAAACCCCATCAAAACTGCCCGTAAATGACAAGAACGAATATTTTCGTCTGTTTATAACTTAATAATGATCTTTTTATCAGTCTACCGGAAGTTAAAAATAGCCTCATGCTAATCCTACTACTAATACTTTCCTTGTTTGTAATCCCCATTTTTCGAGAACAAGGCAGGCAAGGATCCGAATATTGAGAGATCACGGTTGGACACGGGGTCAGGGCATAGCGGATGATGCTTTGGCTTTCCTAGAACCCCCGAATGTATGCCATTCCTTAACGTGCAGCTTGGAGGAGAGTAGTTCACTTAGCCCGCGGGGATGGCGAAGAACGCCGACAGTGCCTCGCTCCCCATCACCGTAGGCAGTGCTTCGAGAGTTTCCGCCTGGGACGAGTCCAGTGACATTGTAGGTGACTTCAAATTTGTACTGCAAGGTCGCCCTTTGCCATAAACTTGTCGACGTGGTTGTTGTGGTGTCCGCTCCGGTTGCTCTTGAGCTCCTGCTGAGCGGGGATCGGTCTTGCTCAGGAGCCGGTTCGGCTCGCTGCTGATCCGTTGGAGCCCCCCCCCACCCCCCGGTTTTCGGCTGGAACAAGAAGCTGCGTTCGCACGGTGACCTCGTCTGGTTGAGGTAGCGATGTAGGGTTGCTGCTGTCTCGCTTGAATTGTGATGGGAGTCGCTGCAGTTGCACGCTAAGTGCCTCCGTGAGCCTTCCAGTCGATGGCTTCTCTCATCGTGCCACTCGATGCACGCGTAGCAGCAGCTCCTGTGGTCGGCCCGGAAAGTCGTGGATCCTAGGACAACAGTATCGCTGGACCGTAGGGGACCGTGCATTGCCTTGAGCGCAAACACGGCTCCATCCTCCGCCACTTCTCCCACTCGGTCTCTTTTGCTGCACTTGGATCTCCATTTGATCGTGGAATTGTATCCCACCGCTGCCATCAGATGCAAAGTCCAGCACACAAGTCTATGGAGTTGCTGAAGGTCGGATTTACACAGCCGAGTCTATACAAAGGGAGATCTTTAGCAGACCTAAAACTCCTCACTCGTCTCTTAAAATAAAACAATGCTCTACTGCTTATCTTTGACAGCCAAGAGCTAATGGTGCTGAATTTCATTCTAATGGCAGGGACAAGTCAAACCATTGAACTTTTCAAACATCGAGAAAAAAGCTGCCTGAGGGGACAGCGTCACTACTAAACTCAGTGGGGAGAATTCAGATGAGTCTTTCGTACGGCTGCTGACGTAGATGCAGAGCAAAAACTACATATTTCACATTCAGGTGGTCAAGCCCAGATAACCGTGTCCAGGAGTAGCAGAATGTATCGCTGCGATGTCTCCGTATTAATGTGGATCGGGCAGTGTCGTTATATGTTGTACGGTCTGTTCTGGATGACCAGTCGCACACTGCTGGAGAGTTAAGTTTCCAGAATGCTGCTGAGACAGGAAAGAGGTTCTCCAACTGAGCTTCGACACCGAGGGAGTCCGACTGAAGCCAGAGATGAGTGCTTCAACCGAGTCCACACGCCGGTTTACCAAGTGGCGTCAATTTACAATGTCTGTTGCACTCGTGTGCATACCAGACTAAATAATAATAGGGTCAGACATCTCGGACATAATCATGTGCAAAAAATGAGTCCTATAACTTTCAATTTATTTAAAATATAGCTCCTTAAAAGTTGTTACCACATACCTCTGAACAGAAATTATACATTTAAAAGAGACCAAGACAATACAGTTGCAACTATAGATCAAAGAGCGTTTGAATGAAAAACAAATAGTAGACATTCAGTACGAGTTTTGCTCGTCTAAAGTGACAATTCTGCAAATTCTAACAGGAGAAAGGAAAACTACCACCGAGATTCAATCCATACATTCAGACTCCAAGCGGTGCCAACTCAGAGCTCGAGGGAGATGCTTCACGTTGGCACCGTAAGGCAACAGTGACGTGCAAAAGATGGACATCAAGAGTCATGTGAAATGTGCTTTCATAACTTCACTTGTTAGTGACCATGAGAAACATTACGTTTCAATGAAGTGCAAAGCGATGTCTTGATAAGACCTCGATTTACCCATCAGATGATTTTGCGCCAGACCCACACACACGACATACATGATCCCAATAGCGACCATAAGAAAAATAAACAAGGCATTTGTGTTAAAACAGTACAACTAACAGTACAAATGTTCGGCATCCAAGGTTTCCTACTGTGTGACTATAGACAATATTAGTCACGGTGGATCGTGCTGCCCGGTGACAAGTCCTGGGCATCTAAATGGACCGCACGATTCACAAGTCGTGAACACCACCAAGAAACCCCCACCCTCTCACATGGCAACCACTGCCCGCCCAGCAGAGGCGCTTATGCTCAGGGAGAAAAACTAAATACACATTTCTAAGACTACAACCATTAAATCAAAACTACACTAGCCAATGACATCGATGTTCATTAATAACACAAGCCAGAGCAAAAAGCTTGGAGCACCTGATATGTCAACACTTTAGCGGTGCCAATATCCTTTCTTAGGATGGTCTTCATATGGTGACTATAACCGAACAGGCAGCAATTAAGCACGTCAAGATTCATTAACTAAAATATATTCTTACGCTCACAAAAAATATATCATTTTACCTTGGCTAATGGAAAGTCAGACAGAACAAGGTAATATGATGACATTGCAAATAAGGTGCAAGTAATCATTAAAATATTCCTGAATACAAATATTGTTTTTGTAACAATCAAATTGGTGGAGGGAGGTGAATTGTTCTATGCCTGGCGGCTATAGACCTTTCCAAAAACCCACAATTAACATTTATTTGCAACCTCAAGCGGATGGGACCAACTCGGGAAATATCTGCCTTGGGATTATGATTTGAGACCATATAGCCACTGAACTCCAGTTATCATGATTTCGAAACCCTTCCAATCGCCAGGGCCATGGAGGGTAAGTCGTGGGCTCGGTCTGTACTGGGAGTGCACCTTTCGTGCTCGCGAGCTGTGGTGGTGATGCAGAGGAAAGTCTGTCAACCCATGGCACCTGGGTCTGTCCCGTGACCTGCCAGGCGGCGTTCGACACTTCACGTGGCCCTTGGTGCAAATAGCCTGGCACAAGGGCCGTGGTGACGTCACCACCACTTCGTGGCAAATGGCAGTTGTCGTTGGTGGCGATGCAGAGGAAAGTTGCGCGAGGTCTGGCGCTCTGGAGTGTTGTTGCAGACGACATCAGTACAGGCTTAATACAAGTCCGTCTTTATAGCTGATACATTTTTGTTACCATTGCTTATTGAGTGTACAATTCACAACTCAAATAAGAACGTTTATACGGTACAATCATTTTATCAACTGAATTTTAATACATAAGGCACATTGATTAGTTGAATCTACATCTACGTTCCAGGGTTAAGACCAATGTTAAAATATTTATTTCCATTAAATGCAAGATAGAGTTTATATAAAACAATTATTTGCATGAAGATACACGTGAAAGCAGTTGTTACCTACTCCAAATATACCACGATGAACCGTTTATAATAATCAGTGTTGAATTTCACGAGCATGTAAATATGAAAGGTCTCTAGCGATTAGTTAATTCCTACACACACTAAAACATCTTAAAACAATACTGGCCAAGTATTCCACAGCAATTGGTGGAACTACCACATCGCTTTGCTGGCAGCATTCTCTCCATAGCACAACAGCTCACTTCCCTGGCACTCACTGGTCATGGTACTCCTTGGATTGACCATGAATGCTTGAAAGTTCTGGATCATGACCTTTAAAGACTTTCACAAACACATTAAGTGAGGATTGCTTTCTCATCTCTCGTCTCCTATACAGGGGACAAACATCTATGGAGGTGTTAAGAGAAGGGAAAAGGGTGCCTGCACATGAAATGGCAGTTCTACTAAACACAAGGAAATATAATTTGAAGAAAATTTTCAGGAAACCTCTCCCGAGTCTTAAGAATAATTCTCACGAGGGTCCTGCGTGTGATGTGAGAGCCACTTGATTATCATTTGCTGGAGGAAACTTTAATTCCACTCAAACTGTGTTACACGGATGGCATGTTAGGAACCTACTTGGTGTACTGCCTACTGCAGGCAGCCCCTCAACCGGTAAGTATCGCAAAAAGTTTGTGTTCCACCAACTTGACTGTTCAGTGGCCTGAGCGCTCACATTCATTGCCGCTGTTTCGATTCAATCCAAATATTTGCACCTCCGATTAGCACGGTTGGCTGCATATGGTGAAAAATAAATTCAACATACATACAACGCACACGGCTGCCCGGGGTGTCATGCTCACAAACCCCAATAGCTGTCGTTTAAACGACGTCCATTTGGAACTGCTGACTGGACTGGTTGTGCGCAAGACTGAAGAGTTAAAAGGCAAGACATTGCTCATAAAGTGCTGGGTGACGAGAGTTTGGCAGCTTACTGGGCCCGGGTTACGCTAACTCGTCTTGTGCATATTACCTGCCCTTGTTTTCTCAGTCTAACCACCAGGTCGTGTCTGTACACCAACAATTAATAGCGAATCAAAAGGTGAAAAGAATTAAGCATTAAGGTTGGCATGAGCATCAGGTGTAGTGCTACACTCCCCAAGCAGTGTGACCTACCCATGTAGTCGTTACGCTTTCACACTTGGAATCCTCATTTTTGGCGTTCACAATGAACTGTGGCCAACGCTGCGGTGCGTCCATGAAATTACCGTAAAGGACCAAATGCGGCATCTGGCCCTTTTAACTTTTAACTGTCTAAAGGTAACACAGCTGTCCACATGGGCCAACTACAGCAGGAGATACACAAACCTTATCAATGCATTACACCTCATCCTGAACAGTATTGGTGCATTCAAGTGTGGTAATAACGTTCATTGCAAAGGAAAGTATGTATGGCATGTGAAGGTAACATCCTAGGAACTGGCTTGCAAGTGAATCATTCAAAAGTTTTGCACCAGGTGTCTTCTGCTAAAGGCGGTGCCAATTTTGTTGCTATGATTAGGCAGCTGCTTTAGCACTACAGATATGTGCACCGAGTATTGCGTTTACATTTTAAAAGGCAGTACGTAGTGTTTAGTGAATTACTGCTTGCATGCAGAATCCTTCTATATACTCTTAGTGTTAGCACTACTTACTCTTCATCCCCAATGGGACATGAGGCTACAACGTGTTCGCACTACGAGGTGCGCTATTTCAGTGGCTCCCGTTTGAGGAGCCACTGCAGCCGTAACATTGCCATAAGTACATATTATAACAGCAGCTAAATTCAGTACATGAGTATAGAGTGTTGCACACTGCACATGTAGCAATTAGGAGTATTGAGTAACTTGTGGACAACTCAGATTCTGAAACCGTCATCTAAAAACAGAAAAACTGGCCATGCACAATACCAAGCCGGTAACCATAGCTTTCCGCATAGCGAACTAAAGCCAAAACGCATTCTGGTTTTTTGGGTGCCAATTTCTCTCTGTTAAGTGTTTCGCAAACGACACTTTGTATGCTTGGTGGAAAATAACAGCACGGTGGCAATATCAGCCACAACCTAGGCAATTGCTGCTCAACAGGTCAGCTTCAACACAGCTCCAACGAACACAAAAATGACCAGCGCTAACCTCACAAAAGCTCAAATCAAAGAAGAGCAGGAGTGTGTTCTTGTACGAGAAGGTGCATGGAGACAGGAGTCGTAGAAGTGAGGCTAACCGTGGAGTGAGTGTAGCTGGAACTTCCTTCTCCCCCATCCATCTGTGCTATCCACTACCTGCCACTGCTCAAGTCCACGCTCAAAACCTTCATATTTCCTCTGCTCTTAGACCAACTGCCTCGCTCTACAAAATAAGTATTCCCACTGTTCTTGTACAGCGTATTGAGATGTGGTCGGTTTTAGAAGTTGCATAAAGCCAGTGTATTGTAACTGAACATGCGAGACGTGTGAATGCATAGGAGTGCGAGCAGCAGTTGGGGACCCTTAGGGCTTGCAAGAGCTCCGTGGCTGCCAGGTGCGCAGGTCAAGCAGCACCTGGTTCACTTTGTTCATCCACAAGTCACGCTCCTCCTTTGTGTCGGCTGACAGCCAGTACCTGCCGACGAGGGCAAGAGCACGGGAAAGCATTTCTCATGGTGCCAAGCCAGGGGGACACAGACCATTGGGAAACATCACACACATTGACTGGACACCACACAACATACAAAATAGATTTTACTTCAAGATTCTTCAAATATTTTTTTTCCGGTGGGCCACAAATAAAATAGCGAGTGTCGGCGGGGCACGTGGCGTCATATGTCACATGTACAGACGTATGTTTGTAGAACTTGTTTCGTATCAAACGTAGCCAACCATGTTAATCGGAGGTGCGGGACAGAAGTCATAACACGACATGAGAATCTGCGCAAGCGCTAGCTCGGCGGACACTCGCAGGACCAAATTTGGCCGCCAGTTCAAGAATTATGAATTACGAAACAATCCCCCAGAGACTATACTACACTCATCAGCAGAGATGCAGACAACAATCACCGGGGACTCCACGACATACGCCAGCAGAGATGCAGACAACAATCACCGGAGACTACACAACACTCACCAGAGATCACATGGCCCGCACCAGAGCCCACGGGACACTCACCGGGAGACCAGCAGCGCGTCCTTCCGTTTGCGCACAAGCGTCTGGCAGTCATGTGGGCGTGCTGCACGTGCCGTCCTCAGCTCCAACGTGTTGGGGCGTGCGCACGCCTCACGGCTCGCCGGCCCCACGCGAGGCTCCTCCACCTCCGCCAGCCTGACCTGACCCAGCGCCTCCTGGCGCACATGGGGGGAGCGGCAGAGCGGTGCCGGGAAAATGTGATTGGGTTCGTGTGGCCAAATATCCATAATAGGTTTGCTCACTTACAGAATCGTACAGTGAATTCAAACATGTATTCATGTACACATGCACATGTATGCATGTGCAGCCCTTTGTCAATCCACTGCTGGATAAAGGCATTCCCACAAGTGCCTTTCATGGGAGTTGTTTAACAATTCTTCACCACGCTGATCAATGTGAGTTGAAGTGGGGACCAGGACCGGTTCAGCATCACTCATCACTGATGTTAGCTGTCACTGGGAATTTAACTCAAGTAAACTGGTTCATAGTACAAATCCACTCACCACAGGTCACACCATGAACCTGATATAGTGTATCACTGTGTCAGCATGAATGGCTGTTAGGCATTGTATTACACGCATTAGCGTGTTGTGGCGGCGCATGTTAGTGTCAGCGGCGCGTCTCCATGTACAGGGCGCGTGCGTACCCACCTTGCTTCGCTCGTCGTCGGGGTACGTCCAGTAGCTGAGTCGCATCCCTGCGAGCACGAACCAGCGGCGGTGCCAGGCGCCCAGACCACCCACGTCCTCAAACACCGTCTGCAGGCGTCAGGCGCCACCGTGGGGTCACAATGAGGGGGCATGCGAGAAACCCAACAGCCCGACATCGAATGTGGCCAAGTGGAATTCTGTGTTTGAACCCCGTGCTAGTCTTGCATGGAGTTCGGCATTTGTGGGTAACCCGCGAAGCGGGCCGGAAGTAGTGTTTACGTAAAGCCGTTTCGGTGCATGTCGGGTCACGTTCGTTGCATCATGTGACCCGCACCCAAAGAGAAATCTGTAAAAAAAAATGTGGTTACGACCCACCTTGTGGTTCACCCACGGGTCACCCAGATACCCGATCCAGTATTCGACCCTAGGTTTCGCATTTGTGACTATAGGAAGGTACAATGATAAAAGAAACAGCCGTGAGCTTGCGCCTGGGCTGTGCGTCCCGGTAGACAGGAATCTTGAGGTGGAAACGAGGATACTAGACGTTAGTATCACGACAGCACCCATCGTGCTCCAGTGACATCGGTGCACTGAAGATTCATTAAAATGAACAGCAGTAACGTCGGCCATGTTATAAATGTGCCATAATTGTGCGTACGAGCTTCATTTAAAGGTCTTCACAATTGTGTTCGATGGCAAAGGGACACGGAGCCCAAGGCGTGAATGCACATGTGCGTGGAAGGCCGGGGAGGGGGGGTTCACTCTCGACGCTCACCAGGAAGCCGCGGTGTTCGACAGCCGACGCCGCTCGGCACTCGACCTTCAAAAAGATCGGCCCCTCCAAGGGCGACAGGAACGGCACCTGAGGAGGCATGCAGTGAACCAGGCTCGCTCACGGAACTCAGTTGTGCGGATAGTGGCCACAATCAACCACGACAACGCCCTTCATCATGTTTTGCTGCCATGCCGGAGCTTGCATTTAGTATTCTTTGGTTCTTTTGGTAAAGTCACGTAGGTATAAAATAAAACTTAAGTACTTGTGCAATTTGGACTTTTATACCTCACCTCCATCCTGTAATGTTTCTGTTTAAGGGTACGTACACAGTATGCAGGTTCTTTATTTACTGATGAAGCCTACTCAGCCAAAGCATCGAGATCTTCCTTTCCTCTCAATGATTGTATTTTAAAGCAATCTGTTATCATTTGTTTTAGTAATTCACGCAGCACGTGTTTTCTCAAAGAATTCACTTCGCGTCATTAACTAAGAAAAAAATATGATTTTTATATTTTTGATACATCATTAAAATAGAACTTTTAATTGTGTACAGTTAAACGGATTCTTTCTAAAGTGTATATTGGCATGTAGTTACAGATATTTGACAGTATGCTTCTGACGAATATTTGCAATGTTAACATCTATTTCAATGGTGAGCGCACAAGAGGCCAATAACTTCATCACTGCAACGTAACAGACATCATACGAGCCAACAACATTTGCATTCATACAAGTCGACACAATCGGATCTCAAGACTGCGCACTGGAAGGACAACCGATTCTTAGTCAGGGAGGGATGGACATGAGGTACAGATGTGGGATAGAGAAGAAATCAGGCAAATCAAATTCAAAGCGTTGAGTTTTAACATTGAAGATCATAACAGAGTTTAAACCAGCGCTTCTCAACTTTTCACATTCCACGGCACACTTGTGAGCTTGCTCGATCTTCGTGGCACACCGAACCCAAAACATCGCCGTGGACCTGTTGCTCATCCTGATCTTGTCGAGAACATGGAAACCAAGCTGTGCCGCCAAAACCCAAAACAAGAATTTGCCTGACTGCGTGAGTGTACAAGGGCATACCTCTTAAAACACTGCTTCTTTTAGCGCCGTTTGACGTAAAACGCTCTTTTTCCTGGAGGACAATACCTGCGTGAGAACGCGCAGCAGGCGACGCTCCCCCTCTGCTCCGAGCCGTGCGCTCAACCAGCGAGAGCAGCCTGCGTTCAGTGGCACCGAGCCAACCAGCGCCCCCATTGCCCCGAGTCTCAAATGCTTTCCGCGGAACGTGCGTTCACGCCGTTAGTAACCGTTTTTGCTTTTTGTGATAACATTTCTGACCCACAATATTTGGAAAAAGGCCTGCAAGTGATAAGTGCTGGTAATTGTGGCTAACCAGTCAAGGGAAGGCACCAGTTGGATGTGAACATGCAGGTTATACAACGTATGGAGGCCGGAAAGCGTTGGGTTGATGTCGGTTGGAGCTTGGGTTTTGGCTGTATCAACCGTTAGAATCGCTCAATCGTTAACTGTAACCAGGACAGCTCGTTCAAGGAGTGTTTTACTGGAGAAGGGGGAAGAGGCGATTAGGTGTGTGGGTCGAAGTTCAGACGCAGCAACACATGCCCCCAAGCCAGATGATCATCATGGAGAAGATTATGGTCAATCTTACGCACCTCCGACCAAATGCACTGACTGGCGAGTAAATTACTTATTGTATATTTTTTTACGTCATCATTAAAGTTATTTTTCTTTTTAAATATATTTATCATGTGTACAGCATCAATATTAAGGCTATTACTGATACACCAATAAACTCTTTTTATCACTCATAGGTAACATATAGGGCCGTTAGGAACGCATTTCCATTAGAACCACGTTATACTGACCTCCCGTAGCGCTGTTTCGTGCAGCGCTCCGTTTACCAACAACGCATCCTAATCGCTAGAAGAGGTATGTTTGATGTCTCCTCGTCTGTGTCTCGGTGTGTATTAGTGTATGTCTCCGTGCACATGTCCGTATGTGTCTCCATGTCCTTGTGTCTCTAAGCATGTCTCCACGTACATTTGCCCAACTGTACATGTGCCACCGAGGGAGTAGAAGGGGTGGCAACAGATTATTGTCTGCTGGCGTACTGCACCGCGACCAATGCAGAGAGGAGGGCGAGCAGATGTGGGCTTGTTGATGCTTTCCTTTTCTACAAGTCCGACAATTCTATGGCACGTCTGGGACTTTGGCGAGGCACAATAGCATGCAGCTGCACACTGGTCGCAAAGCACTGGTTTAAACTGTTAAAGGAGAGCAGCAGCCACGAGCCGTGATTCAGAATGCCGGCACCCTGCACCAATTGGAGCGCTTCATTGTGCAGCTGTACTGCACCACCTGCCCCCAAACCCCCCTCCGCGTGGGTTGTGCCATTTTATCCAGGGTTTTTGGGGAGGTTGTTTGGGATGCAGATGAGATACAGGTAAAAAAGCCTGGAGGCATTTACTAACAGATGGAAGAAGACATGTAGTGTTAATTAAAGAAAATGAGCCTTTTAATTTAAGAAACAAGATTCTCAGGACTGTCTGAACGGTCAACAGCAAGTTATATTTTAATTCGTTAAAACATCAATGTGGCCCAAAGTCTTTTACTATACCAATCGACGGTTCATAGATATTAAAACCTTTTTCAGTAAAAATCACAGAGATTTGCTCATAATATATATTTTTCAATCTAGCTGTAAATATGGGATTCGGGTAATGACACAACCACAAAAAAACGAATTGTCTCAGGGTCTTTGCAATGGACAAGCTGACAGCAGACATTGCACTTTGGGGAAAAGTCCATAAATCAACTCAATATGCTCATCTTCTGTTTGCAGCCCAAGTCATTGATGAACATTTCACATTCTGATGGTGGGGGTAAGTATATTCATAGGACAGCCACTATTGACTTTCTGGAATGGTATATATTTTTTATAAATACCAGACCGATGTTACCCAAGTCAAGCAGGATTTTAACTTGTAACCTTGATTGAGGCTCTTTAACCTGTTCCAAGTGACTGAATTCAGCAATAAGGCACCGTGGAAATTATGGGGAAAACTGCGGGATTTTAACCACACTATAAAGTATAAAACCCAAGGACTGATAACATCTCACGATTTAAACAGTGGTGTGGCACAAATACAGGGAACCATAGACACGTATGTGTCAGTGCAAACTTTCATCACTAAAAACATGTTAGGCTTTAACAATGATCAAGTCCTGAGAATCGAATTGTTAACTTTGTACAAGCTTGTTGGAGAGGGATCAACTGTGAGGAGACAAGGACAGAGGGGGAGAGAGGAGCACCTTCTCTTGAAACTCATCTCCCAGCAGGTGTCTGACTTTCCCATCAAACTTCATCTAGAGCCAGCAGGGGAGAGAACACCCAGTGAGACACCACGCGCCTCCACAACCCGTGACAGCACAACTCGCACACCGAGATACAACACTCCACCACCTCAACAACCTCACACTCCACCACCTCAACCAAATCAGACCACCTCAAGCACCTCGCACTCCACCACCTCAATTACGTGACACTATTCACCAGATTCATGTCGCACCTTACAGTTTTAACATTCAAATACCTTATTTATTCACAACCCAACCGCATTCCACTAATGTCAGATTTCTAAACTATTTTTCCTTTACCAAGTAAGGCCTACTGAGCTATATAGCTCTTTTTTAGAAGCGACCTGCCTATCACAAATAATAGCTCAACAAAGTGGCTAATCACGTGGAAATGTATTGCAGATAAATACCCTAAATGCAGAAGGAAAAAGTGGAGGACCCGGAGAAAAATTTACGCGATCATGGGGAGAACATGCAAACTCCACATATACAGGCATCAGGGATCAAACCCACGACCTGTATAGGAAAAGAGGTAATTAACATCTCGCCACCGTGGCACCCTATTTCAGTCAATCATGTCAGATATTTCACTCTCATTCTACCACTTCAACCACATCACACAGACACCATATTATCTCAAGTCACACCTCACATTCAACTGCAATCACCTCACATTTCACCACTTCAACCACATCACAACTTCCTCAACACACCCACCAACATTTAAACAGAGAAGCACAAGAGGAGCATCCACCAGGCCACACAGTGCATCAAAGCAGCAGCGCAAGATGTCATTGTGCGTCACGTGGACGGTGGCGCTTCAGGTCGAGCGTGCACGTGGCAGGGACAGAGGGAACGAGACGCGACGTGTAAACTCAAGTGTAAAATGAGCACAAGGAGCCAACCTCTAAACCATGTGTTCCGGTTGAAGATCATGACAAGAAATTCGAGGCATGCTTTTCAGTACAAATGTGATGCTAAACTAAGAAGAACATTTTCCGTACCTCTAACTTAATATGTTAAGGGTTATGAACACATGGTTTAGGCTTGGTAAAAACATCCGATTTGGATCTACTGAGAGCAGAACAGCACGAGAAGCAGAGTGGGGTCACTGCCAAGCTTCAGAGTGGGATATAACAATGAACAGAGGTGCTATTGAAATAACACTGCAACCGATCAGTTGTGCAAACTCAATGGTTAAGAGGCTGTGTAACCTAAGAGGAAACCTAACAACTTGAGACATTAACAACGTAATCACTTTATAACAAAGGCTGATGATTCATATCGCAAAATACAAGATTGTTAATAAGTCAAATTAAAATCTTGGTTGAAATTATAAGTTGTTTCATCAAATTTTAAGTTAGTTTTAAGCTTTATGATGGTTAGTTTTGTAAGATACGACATGGGAAAACTCCTGGTGAGCCATTAACCATGCTTAATGAAAGTATAATTTCTGTACAAACGAACAGATGGTGTTTGATACCAGAAATGAGCTACATTACTCCCATTCGAGAAGATATCCAGTGACCTCTTCAGTAAGCGGACTTTAGGAGTTGCTCACACAGCAGTGAAGGGCAATGTCGTAATGTCGAGAGCCAGATGGCTAAACATCTTGGTAGAGGGCACACATGTCGGATAACATTCCTGTAGCAATAGCTCCAGATTACCCCTTATGGGCAACCACGACTTTGGGAGCTTCTTCCTCAAGCTCGGAAAGAGCGAGGTGGACTTTGATAGCACCAGTGGCAAATTTTTCCCGTGGCTTTTCGGCGCCAATTTCCGATCCTCCACACCCTCTCCTCTCCCCAGTGGTGCCGAGACAGGGCACTGCACAACGTTCTTATTCCAGAACACGCCGCCACTGCCCGACACAGGGAAAACCACTGAGTGCAGGTCACTCAGTTTCATTGGCGATCAGCAATCTCGGCAGTTGTTCACGCGCGGCCATCTTCTACTACTAAGAGCCGTCTACGCTGTACGACACTTTCACGCCCACTTAACCCACATAGGCTGCGCTGCTAAACGAGATATTGGCATACTCTTTGGTTATTTCAGTAAAGTTACGTAGGTAGAAAAATAATAGATCACGACGTTTCGATCGAAACAAGCAATCGTCAGTTTTTTCTTGCTGTGGTTGTTCCACCTGATGACGCTTGTGTTGCGATCGAAACGTCGTGATCTATTATTTTTCTACCTACGTGACTTTACTGAAAGAAGCAAAGAGTATGGATTCCTGCAGTCACTAAAGCTTCAAATCAAGATTGAGATATTGGAACTTGCGTTGAGTCGGGTTTTTCATGAAGTGGTCACCAACACGTTCCAATTATACCTATTACAACATCCATTCCAGTGCCCGGCACTTGGGGAACTTAGCCAATGCGTTACATTTTCCATTCGTAGAACTGACTGTACGTAGCACTCACTGTACGTAGCACTCACTGCGTACACAAGATATCCCCCTTGACATTCTTTGAGAAAAATGCATTTTGGAGGGAATGGCGGGCAGAATGCAGCATGTAGGTGACCACTTATGAAAACCAGGTTTAATGTATGCACTTAATTCTAGTTTATTCACGCCAAGAGCCAATTTCGCCTTGGAACTTTCTCAGATTTGAGGACACAACCTTTTGTCAGAATGGAAACAATTATTTATACAACTCTTTTTATAACTCACCCGAGACAATTACGGCGACCCAGGTTTGTCGATCTTATCTCATCTAGGATTTTATATAGTGCTGTTGTCGAAGCCCTTAACGATTCCCATTGTGCTCCCACTAGGTTTCAATTAAATATTACTCTAAATAAGCTTATCGGATTGTCACGGTTCATTTATTTAAAATGTTTTCATTCTTTTCAGTGATTGCAACAAACCCCTTTGCTCCTCATTAATTGAAATCGATCAAGGCGGCCAGTTCACATTGCTAAAAATCAAATGTATAAGTTGGGCAAAGCAGACGTGGCACAGCAAGCTATGCGAAGCGGGCAGGTAGATGCGATGCAGCAGCGACAAAGCAGAGAAGCAAACTCCTCCAGCCTGCATTCACTCTCGTGTTTGAATGTTTGAGTTCACACGATGTCGTGATGTTAGCACACGACCGTTTTACTTGGCTCCAGGAAATGGTTTTGAATCAATCGTGCACATCACACGCTGGTGGATGGGACATGTGCTAATGTGCAAAGCAGAGCACCCTTTTGGCTCACAAGTTTCCACAGCACAAATATAACACACAATTAGTGTACTGAAGCATATTTTGGAAAATTGTCATTGAACACATTGTACTCACGAACAAAGTATCCATTCCGTCACCTAATATTACTGTGTAGACATTGCTTACTGTATGCACTGTGCATCCTTTAAAAATGTAACATCCAATTTGGATGACATTAAAAAGTTTTAAAGCCAGGTACTCACCTACATAGTTTACTCCAATCACCTATTTATGACATGGATGCGTAGTAAATCCCCTCATGAACTATAACATTTCCAAACATAATATATGTAATATAAATATGTAATGTTACGTTTATAATTAAAATCATTCCTATGTACACGGCATCTAGTACATTATATTATGTGGCAAACATCTCATTTACAGATGCAAAGCAAGAGCACTTGCGAAGGATCTCCAAACTGACGGCCTCGACACAATGTTTGCTCTCACAGTTACTTCACCACTGTCCCTCCTATCTCCCCAACATGGTTGCATGTTGGGGAGATATCGTCCACAAGAGATGACGAACGCCACTTCCACGGCACGAGCTGGCACGATAGATTGCAGTTATTTTCCACTGGCATATCCTGCCTGTGAGTTGCCCGAGCATGCACAATTCGTATGCTGTATACACTGGCTTAAAACGGTGTAGACACCCATTCTCTGTGCTTTTCTACATCAAGCTCTTACAACCCTTCTACTGATCTCACGATCACCCCATCTTACACTTGGGAATACCTGGTCACAACCCACATGGATAGACTGGCACTCCAATAAATTGGATGATCATCCAATCAATGAAGAGATCATTATGGCCAGTGTTGTTAATGCCAGTTTGTCATCACTTCCTTATTTCTGCCAGATGAAGGAACTACTGCAACAATCTTCTAGGTCTGCCTATTACAGTTACTTCACCACTGCCTATTTCTCCAACTTAGTTGCAAACTTCTGGGTGCCAACTCCAATGCTCGTCTCTTCAGCAAAACAGCCCTACAAGCGATGTATTTAGAGCGTGGCACCTTACCTTGTCCAAGAGAAACCTGGAGGTGCCGAGCGAGGCGCGCGTGATCTTGTGCGAGCCGACGAGAGAGAAGTTGCTCACACGCACTGCGTTGGGTCCGCCCGCACTGCTCATGGCTGCACAATGCACAAACATCAACAAAAAGGCAGACATGTACAGACACGCACAAACAAAACTAAAGACATATCCCCCATATAGCCTTCAACAGACTGTTGGGGCAAGTGCTGTTAGCGAGCACCTAACAAGGCCGGAACAGTACACAAGGGAGTGAGTGGCCAGCACCACGCCCGGCTGCCTTTGACTCCCCAGTGACGATGTAACACACTGTACCAGGTACTCATTTGAGGCCGAGTCGACCCAGGACAAGTCCGGATAATCATGACCGGTATTGGCAGTGAGAGGGAATCAACCTCAGGTTGCCGGGTTCGTAGCGCAGCACACTAACTGCTGTACTACTGCTCCCCAGCACACACGCACTGTCAACAGAATGCACATGTGCCTGCGTCAGGCCTCGTGCAAAGCAGCAGACTTAAAGCAAGTTGCAAACGTAGGCTGGGTTCACACTGGATCACTATAGGTGCTGCTGCATTTTCTAGCTTGAGCAGCAGCCAACCGTCGATATGAGGGTTGAATGTTTGAATGGCAACCAATATCCGTGACTGGCTGCTGTTCAACCTGGCAAATATTGTGGCACGTTAACTGATCCACTGTGAACCCAACCTTAAGAGGATGGCACGTTGACCGCTAAGAAATCCTTTAACCTTCATCATGAATGTACTAACTGCATACTACAGAGCAAGGCAGTGAGGCTTAATGTACACTTTTCAAAAGCACTAATAGCCTCTCTGAAAATCTACATTTGAATGTACTCTGTGATGGGAAAAATATTTAGGTGTCAAACCAAAATTATATCGCCATGTGTTCCACCATTGTTTTCCCGCCAAGCCACCCCACAACATTGTATTTAACTATATGAAGAGACTTTGGCCACCAGGTATCAATGTGCTTCACAAGGTGAACACGAGACCAAGGTGGAAAAGCACAATGCAAAGCCTGGAGCACAATGTGGCGTGTAGCGGGCGATTGTGGGTTCCCCGGCAGCCTCCTCACCTGGAGAGTACGGATGATTCCTCTGAAAAAGAGAGAAACACAAATAGCTTGACCCACACAACAAACAAACCTGCCTTGTGCACAAGTCTGCGATGTAACAATCCACCCAGCACCTGCAGCTAGTGTAGACGTGCTAGGTGGATAATTACATCGCAAGATCACAACTGGAAGTAGTGGTTTCATCCAGCTATGGATGACCGAGGGTGATAATGAAGAAATGTATTAAAGCCTAAATAATACATTTTTGCACGTGATTAGATGCAAATATTGTAAACCTAACAATTTATACAAATCAATAAACTGAATCATTAGCATGACCTGTTTAACTCTAGTAAGCCAGTTACACAGCCACTCCATGCAAGTACACAGGTGTGGGACGGCCTGCCTTGTGGCCCAATGTCCAGAGCATCCGCTTGGGTCATTCTCGTCGGCATGGGCCCTTCCCACATCGTCACACTAATGCAGAAATTAAATTGCAATTGGCACACGTTTCCAATGCCTGATCATTCCAAATGATTCAGTGCATGACTTGCAGTTTGATGCACTTCATTTAATTATGTTTTGAACAAATCAATGATGCAATCAATAGTGTGGGTTGGTACTGCATAAAAAAATAGAAATTATTAGTGGTATTACTTTATTAACTACAAGTGACAAATTATCAACTCGTGTTTTTGTATGTAATTTCACACTGCATTCTGAACTAAGAAAGTGGCGTTGTAATTTAATCATAATACATAAAAAATGTAAATATATTGTTCAATCACTGTGATATCTAAGCAATGTATTTCCATGCAAGTGTATAACTTGGAAATCAGTCTTAACCTTGACTGGAGGACTTGGTACATGCACAGGAGAACTACAAATTCGCAGTCATTATAATTTTATAAGATTTAAATTAATATCATAATTGAAGCTTGAAATCAGAAAATGTTAGTAAAGGAACACTTACAGTGATGGAAGTAAGTAGCTTTTTAGGAGTCATGACCTGGGAAGTAAGGAGTAATGGTAAGATGGTGATGATTTTAAACAAATGCATGTATTTTAACATTCGATTTAATAAAAACTCCCGTGAATGAATGCACAACATCAGTTTACCAAGTGCGTGTTGGTCTGTTTGGACACGTGGCCTGGTTAGGTTCAAACATGCATGCACTCCCGAAAGAGGGCAATGTCAAGATGTTCTGTATAACCAGCATCACCAGACATGCCAAACTCGTCCCGACAAAATTATGCATATTTGTTTTGGAATAGTGCTATGTAGCACAAACACTCTGGTCAAAGCATGGAGCTAATCATTATTTTTTATATATATGTGTAGTGGTTTTCACGGAGGTACACATTTGAACTTGGGAGGCAAAACGTTTATTGCTACACCCCAACATAACACATAACGATATATGTGGTAACTACCACGGTTAACTCAGACCCCAACGGGATAACTCTGGGCCACATGACACATGTCGCTCTCACTACCCCTTGGCCCCCCTCGCTACCCTCACCTGGTCACGTGCCCTCTCGGGTTCACCCAGACTGTCACGTCCTGACTTGCCCTCTCTCTGACCGTCACCAGAGAGACTCAACAACGCACAGTTCCACCCTTTCCTCAGTAGCTGGCGCTAGAGCAGTAGCGACTCAATATACGCCACTACATATATACATTATTTAGACTTATTGTACCACAAAAAATGGAGCGCGCAGAAAAAACTCATGCACGAGATAAATAAACTGTAAACCTCTGCAGAGATCAGGCGTGTCTGCTTTCCTTACTGCAACGATCAGCCACAAAATAGCATTTCCTGTCTGTGTCCTGTCTCCTCCAGTCATCCCATCCACCAGCTTACACATCTTCCTGAATGTCTCATCCCATCACCCTCGCATTTGACTTGCTTCTGCATGTGTGTAACACATCATGGTTCATATCACTATGTGATCCCTCAGACTATTCGTTTGAAATGGCTGATGGGGCAGCTGTTTGTGCAAACAAGAAAACGCACTGACCTTTGACTTGGTCGAGCGGCGTCTCTTATCCGAGGGTTCTCCATCTTTCCTTTGGGCCTGGGTTTGATGCACAAAACCAGATTCAAGAACTTCTAGCAAGACGCTGTGCAGTAAAACTATGCCCAGGTAAATGTACATTATCAGATGAGGCCAATTACCAGTGGTTGACATTTTTGCTCATCATTGCCCCCAGGCGCTGTGACAGGAGTACCAACTGGTCAGCCGAGCCCAGTGGTTCTCAACCTATTATGGCTACTGTACCCCCTTGCTCAATTTTGAGAAATAAATGTATAAATATGTTAACCAGTTGTCCATTTTGTGAGGAATCATGAGCTAATTAACTGTAAGAAAATAAAAAAAATTCAACGGACGCTCTGCATGCGGGATGTAATTTGTTCGCGCTCGCTGGTTACTCTTGGAAACGTTGTTTAAGTTCAATGAGTTTAGAAAGGTCTTTTATTTCAATCTTAATTTGCAGCTTTCGTGACTGCAGGAATCCACTCTTGTTCTTTCGGTAAAGTCACGTAGGTATAAAATAAAATCAATCACGACGTTTCCATCGCTGGATTATATTTTTTCCGCCTGAGGACGACCGCTTGTGTTGCGATCGAAACGTCGTGATTTATTTTATTTTATATCTACGTGTCTTTTATTTCGTTCTATGTTACCATATGGATGACATTTATACTGTAATTATTTAATATTAGCATAATCATACGTGATTATTCACCAATGACTCTCACGTATGATATATTTTCACATTCATAAATCACCCCACAACCACTGGGCTACACCATTTGATGCAATGTTTACAATAATTAAGGATATTTACGTAAATGTAGTAATAGGTTGTTTATTTATAAAGCAACTTTTGCAGACATTTCATACTGACCAGGCTGTAGACTTCCACGTCGATTTCAAAATCACTCTGAACACCTTCCCTGTTAAAGGCAACACCACCAATAAACATAAAGCACCACAGGACAGCTTTCAGTGTAACATGACATATTCAAATCAATTAATTCCATTAGTCATTCGTCTAAATTTTGGGCAGTACGAAACTCTGAGTAGTACTTAAATCGGGGTACCTGTTGCTTTTTGGCACAACAAATGTATTCCATTAGTCAGGCCAAATGATTCCTGTAGAAATCAAATTCTTCTACAGTTGATGCTGATACAAGACTAACATGAATTATGCCATGGGACAGTTCATGCAACAGAATAGTATTCTATTTTAATTCTAGTTTATTGAAGCTTAGCTGGGCTAAGCATAGCTAATTTCAGCTTGGTTATAATAGCAATTCTGGTTAATTCAGGTGACCAGAATTACCTCTAAACTGCATTGCTGATGCACAGTCGATGGAATTGGTATTTGAAAAAAGAAACGCGCTATTGTTTATTTGTTTATCTTGGCACCCAATCCATGGCACTCGGGGTAATATAATGCAGTTGTCTTATTCCACTAAAAGATGTGTGTATTGGGCAGTCATCCAAAGTCTGTATATACCTACATATAATATAACACACGATGATGAATCTAACATAGTTATATACAACACCCACAAGAGGCTCACAGGGAATATTGAGACACCATCTCAGGATTATTCTGCTTTGGAATGGCAAGAAGCAAGTGCCTGGAGAAAAACGCGCGCACACGAGGGGACAATGATCGTACAGCGAGAACTTGGTGGGGAAAGCAAGCGAGTCCCCGTCCATGCTGTGCAGCGTAGACGCCAGCGGCGTGGCCACCACGTCTGTGGAGCCATGACGGAACAGCACGAAGAAGTAGTAGTTGCAGCGATCTGTGGGAGAGCGCGTGGGTAGTGTCAGCACAAAGCACGTAATGACGCCATTAAAACCACTTCTTATGCTCGTGCATCAAATTGTACAGCCCTGTTGCCAATCAACTGCTGAATGGAGTGCCTTCCCATACCAAGAGGGTTGTGGGAGTTATGTCACCATGCTCCGCCACGTTTGTCAGTACAAGAAGAGAACGTAGATGTGGGAGTATAGCAACCAAGAAACGTATTTCACTACACTACACTCTGCTGACCACCGTGCAGAACAGCTCCACATCAATCTGTCTGTGAATAGAAATTATTTATGATTTTATTTGCAAATTAAACGTTAACGTTGCATTTAGGCAAATTGCACAAACTAACCTTTATGGAGGCATAAACATTGAAAATCAATACGGGAGAGCCAAAATAATATTTGAAAAATCAATCCATTCATCTAATTGTGACCATAGATCATGACCACAAATAATGTCAATTCATCTAATCACCATGAGTGGTGAATCGTTAAGTCAGTCCTGGCTATCTCATCTCAAATACAGCCCTATAACACATTTGCATATGTAAACTAACAAAAGCAACATAGCTGTGCTGACACACTGACTTTACCATGATGACATCGTCACGCTCTGACCTTGTGCATCCCATGCAACCGAAATAATGTTCACCGTGAAAATTGCGTTACATTTTATTCGAGCACACACCTACATTTTAGTTGTTTTCATCAGCAAAGCATTCACAACACTGCTCATTGATGTGTGTAAACAGAGTGTTGTACTAGAACCATCAAATATGTATTTCCAGGAGGGAAGGCTAAACTATACCAAGCAGACATACAATACTCCCTTCCTTCACAGCGTCGTTGGCCACTGACACCTATGGCCTCTGAAAGATCGCTCAACATTATCAACACTGTCAAAACGTACACATGGCTATCTTTTACAAATCCCCCTCCTCTTCATTACAATGCTTGTTTCCAAAAATGATTTCAGTGTTTTTACAAAAGGGAACATTCGCCTTCCTACCTACAATTTGTACGTTTATGAAAATTGTCCGTGAAGATCCCTGGGCATGGCACAGCGAGGCTCACTTACCCGGTTTGCTTGCCAGGGAGCACACAAAGTCTGCCTTGAGCGGCAGGCAGACGTTGGACACCAGCACGGTGCCACGGCAGACCTCTGCCTTCGAAGGTGCCATCCGAGCGTCGCTCCGGGCAGGCTGCTGCTGTCCGTCCTCGGGTGCCTGCTGCCCCTTGAGGTCGTTTAGCTCGATGAGCAGAGCCAGGCGCTTCTCAGCTGGGATTCAAGGGGGTAAAGGGGGTAACGAGTGAGCAAGGTTGAGTGGAGACGATCAGCTACATTAATGAATTAACGTACAACCAAGATCAATGCAAAAACACAAATGGAAATGTGTTTATTTAAAATAAAAGCATACAATCAAACATTTGAATCATTTATGCTCAATTAAATCACAACTTGGAGTTTTGAAAGAATTCAAGGAAAACTCTTATGGAACAATATTAGTCAGCAGTGCACCACAGGGATTGGCCACTGGACAATGACATCACAGAACAAATGCTGGAGCATCTCTCCCCAAAACTAAAGAGTACTGCTTTAGGCCCTGCAGAGAGTATTCTATGGATGATAACCCACTTTTTTATTCCTCAAGACTTTAGCAATGACAAACTAAGTAGATGTTTTGGTTAATTAACATTGGCTCTGTATGTCCGTAATGCTCACTGCTGATGAGCAGCAGCCTCTCGGCCTCGGCCTCCTCCACGGAGCCCTTGCCGTGATCCTCGTCCACGCAGCAGTTGAGGGCCTGGCTCGCCTGCTGGATGATCCTCTGCTGCGACGCGATCTCTCCGTTCAGCAGCTGCACGCACGGAAGTGAGCGACGCATGCTTAGAGAAACGCACACACGCACGTGCACGGAAGGAGACGACGGGACCTCAACCCTGCTCGGGCCACCATCTCAGAAGGCTGTTTGGCCAATTACCGAGGAGCATCAACAAGTTGTGTTTATCGCTTGGTTGTGATGTCGTATATGTTCTGCTTTCCAACCAATGCTGAGTGTTCATGCATTAGATCTGTCCATCCTATCGCCTGTATGTAATGATCCAATACGAACCAAACTGTTGTTGCTATTTGAAAATTTCTCAAAAATTATATAAAACTAAACTATTTAACAGGAAAAGTCAACTGAGCTATACAGGCAGTACCCGGGTTACAGTAGACCCGACTTACAGAAATCCAACTCTACAGAAATGTTCCAATAAATCATGGCGAAAACAAATTAAATACTGTATACGTAAATGTTTACATTAGTTACGTAAGCGCAAATAGTGCAGGGGGTGAGGTTGCAGATGAATCCAGCGGAGTGATGCGTAAGGCAGGGCCCGCATATTCCTCAAGGCGATGGTGTACTGTATAGCACTCACGAGTCGCGCTGTTACATTATTACAATGAGTATACTGTACCTGTCACATCATCTCTTTTCCTTTTGTAGCGTTACCTCATTGTTTGTTTTCGATGTTTCGTGGTATTCATAAACAATTGGACACAATACAGTATATGTTCCATTAGTTTAATTATAGTTAGAGTTAGGGTAGATATTCGATCAAATGAATCAGAGGAAGTGCACAGCGTATGAACAGCAATATGATACAGGTAGCGGAAGAAAACGGACTACAGCGCGATGCAGTAATCAGAGAAAACGGTAGGGGAAAGCACAACTATTTTCGGCTATGGGATTTTACTTAGATTTTTGGGGAAAATTGTTGCGGAAAATTCGAGTTATGGATATTTCTCGGGAACCTAACCCTTCCGTAACCCAGAGAGACTGCCTGTATAGGTCTTTTTCAGAAGTGACCTGGCCACAAATGACCGCTGAACGAAGCAGCTTATCACGTGGAAATGTACAGCAGCCAAATACTAAACCAACATTGATTCTAAATGTGGAGGGAAAAACCAGAGAACCCGGAGAAAAAAATCAAAATGACCACGGAAAGAACATGCAAACTCCAAATAAACAGAAACTGAACAATTTTCCCCAAAAATCTAAATAAAATCCCATAGCCGGAAATAGTTGTGCCTTCCCCTACCGTTTTCTCTCTCTCGGGATCGAACCCACGACGTCCTGTATACCAGGCGAGGGAGACAATACCTCGCCACCGTGACGCCAGTGGAAATAGTACTATTTGCAATTATGTCAGCGTGTTTTGCCCTGAAAACTACTGGTCGGCAACTGTACTTCTAAATGAATACTTCTGAGGACAATTGCACGTTGGAGAACGTTAGATAATGCCAGCTTATGCATGATTCTTCTAAATTGATTAATCTCACCTACTTATTTTATGAATGTTGTTGTTTTTTCCTACACTGACATTTCGTATCGGACTTATCTTTTATGACAACCCCAGCTCACCAATCAAAACAAAACCTTCATTATCAACGGGCTTTCACCTTCTATAGTTTGTGTCTATGCATCATGCATGCAACTGGCCACAGCGGGTGTGTAGGCCTTGCTAACACCGCACCTTCACCCTCTCCTTGGTGGCCTGGCCCTGCTGCCGCTGATGTTGCGCTGCAGGCGGGGGCTTCTGGTCACCACGCAGGAACGGCATCGAGCTCTGCGGCTTGGGCGGCTGTGCGGCACGGCGTTGGGTGCGGTAGGCGTCCACGCTGCAGAAGATAAAGATCCCCCCTCATATAGCCTTGAACAGACATTGGGGCAAGTGCTGCGAGCGAGAACCTATATAAAGGCCAGCATGGCACACAAGGGGATGGGTGGCCAGCAAGATGCCCGGCCGCCTTTGTCTCCTCTTTGCTGATATTTATAACCACATCACGCATTCATTGAAGGCTGAGTCAAACTCAGAATCAGAATCTTTATTTATCCCGGATAAATCCAATGAGCTATGAAGCTCTTTTTCACTGATGTCCATCCAGTAAACCTAGGGGAGGCCCAGGGCCGGTTCAGATATTGTCGCCAATGTTGACTGCGTACAGGAACTCTGATTACCAGGTATGTAGCGCAGTGCGATAACCACTACACGACTGCTCCCAAAGCTGCACACACACACAAAGACCACCCCCGCCCCATATAGCCTTAACAGACTGTAGGAGCAAGTGCTGTTGGTGAGCACCTATGTAGGCCGGTACAGCACACGAGGAGGTGAGTGGCAAGCATCACACCCGACCGCCTTTGTCTTCCCAGTGGCAATGTTTATACATTGCACCAGGTACTCAATTGAGGCCGAGTCGATAAAAAGGGCAGGCCCAGAAATGGATTAAATAATCGTCACGGATGTTGGCCATGAGCGTAAATTGAACTGGGGTCACTAGGTTCGTAGCGCAGCGCGTTAACCGCAATGTCCGCTCTTCACACACACACACACAGACAAACACGCATGCCCTGTTAACCTTTCAAAAATAGATGTAACAATTGATTTCTTCAACAAATTGATCAACTGTCATTGTGGGGTCGAGAATAAATCTACTAATTGTTAAGAAGCCCTACCCCTCCCATACATGTATAATCTGTACATTATACTAACATAGTACCTCTTTGGGTCTTTCGGTAAAGTCACGTAGATCGAAAAATAATTTTAAAAACCACGACGTTTCGATCGCAACACAAGCAATCGTCCTCAAATGAAAAAATATAGCAAAAGAGCTGCTGAAGCAGGGTGTTATATAGGCCTGAGATGGGTGCAGCCCAAGGGTAAGTGAGCGGGGTTAGAGAAAGAAGATCGAGGGCACCCCAAAGCTTTTGGGCTGGCCATTGTATTGAGAGATTAGCATGTCAATGTAGCCCCCGCCACATCGAGGCCTGAGATAGGTGCAGCCCAAGGGTAAGTAGGCGGGGTTATAGAAGGAAGATCGAGACGTGACTTTACCAAAAGACCCAAAGAGTATGAATTCCTGCAATCACGAAAGCTTTAAGTCAAGATTTAACATAGTACCATTAATAGATAGTATATGAATGATAACTCAATATTTACAAATGACTTGAAGCATGTATGATGTGAATGAGAACTGATTCAAGTTTTCCCGAGTGTTAGCTCATGTTGCACACGATTCACTTGGGTTGCAATAATTTTCCTGCAATGCAGTCGTTTGATTTGATAAACAAATGGAAGGTGGCTCCAAATTTTTTTTCCGAGCAAGAGAGTTAAGTTGGCTGTGTGGCTCAAACAGCAAATACTGCGTCAGGACACATGGCACAACTTGAGATCCTGGTTCAAAGCCAGGTCGCCACTCATCATGGAGCAGATTACTTGACGATACTGTGTTGGCAGTGGTGCATGAGTCTTATTTAACTAGGTTATCAAGTGAAGGGAATTTTGCAGGCTCAGCTCAGTCACCAATCAGCATGTTTAAAAAAAAACAGTTTTCAATTAATTCTACTTTTGCAACTATGAATTTTTTTTTGCTTGATTAACATGTCTTAAATATTCTTTATAGGTGTCCTTTGTCACTGTTATCACACCAGTGTTGCAGAAGTAATCGGACATCACGTTCATCGACCATGTAAACTTTGGTTTGTCAAATACTCTAAACGCATGTTTCTAAATGTGGAGGGAAATACCGGAGGACCCAGGTAAAAATCCACATGATCACGGGGAGAACATGCAAACTCAAATTACAGGCGTCAGGGTAGGGATCGAACCCACAACCTACTGCATACCAAGCAACGTAGTTAATTCGGGTGCGGTAAGAGTGGAGAAGCCGTGCATTTATGTGGGGCATCTTGCCTGTAGGGGAGTCCAGTGTCTTCGGCCGTGTGCTCCCCCTCTGCCGTGCCGGCGTCACGCATCTCTTCCTGGTGCAGGGACACGCTCTGCCAACCGCAACGCTTACACGGTCAATCAATTCATCCACATAATCCATGTCACACCTATCGCACTAAAATTACCTTAAAGTGCTGCACAGAGAGAGAATGGGGGGGAAAACATCTCGAAATAATAGTATCCAACACAACTGTAAAGCAATTCGTTAACATAAGAGGATTAATAATCTTATAAAATTTAAAACGTTAAAAAATATAAACTAATAAATAAGTTTTAAAAACAGGAACAACAATGTCTAAAAGTACTGTAACAATTAGATGACAAGAAATAAACACATAGCAGACAGTTGATGGTGGTGTAAAACAACTTGTAAGAAAACGTAAAAGATAATACATTCTGTCAAGGTGCGAATGCTATAAACCACGATCTCATCTTATTTTTAAAACCGCAGGAGGATGCCTTCCGCGTGATGTACTAACCACTCCACTGTGCTGATACGTGCACAAGATCCATTACCAAAATTGTGTTTCAAAGACATGAATAATTCAATTCATTGCCCTTTATTCTATATCCGGAAAAGCCCAATCACAAAAACATTTTCAAAAGGGTCCTGCATTCAGGTATTTGGCCAATTGGAGTGTTTTGTTTGTCAAAGCAATCCCATAGTACCTGCAGAAAACCCATACATACGGGGGGTGGGTGGGGGTGGGGATAACACAAAATGGTGTGCACAGAAGGGTCGTGAACCGCATCCTGGGCGTAAACGGGGCAATGCCTGCATCACTTGTTGTGTCTTTAGAACTGCCTTTTGTGTTTAGTTTGTTGTCGTTCCCCCATACTTCCAATTAGCAGTTGGCTATGTATGGTGCAAAAGAAGTTCAACATACATACACCATCACTGCTCCTGTTGTCTCAGGAATGTCAGAAATTTCAGAGTGCCAGCAATAACTATCAATGCTGCCGGAGCTAATATTACTGCTGCCACGATTGGAATCATTATTAAAGCTGCTGCTGCTGCTGCAAACATTTCTGCTGCTAACTTTTTACTGACTGCTGTTGCCACTAACAATGCTGCTATCACCAACACTACTGTGGATTCCATTTTCTGAGTTGCTTTTAGCACTACCTCAGCTGCATTGGTCATTGGTACTGCTCCATCCTAGTAGAGCTGCTACTACTACTGCCATTGCCATTATCAACAACTACTCATTCTGTCAATCGCACACAGCTCCTAATTCTACTGTCAAGTGGCTTGGATGGCTGCACATCACGAGTGTGGGCGAGTGGGCCCAGCGGCCTCCTCACCGGGGGCGGTGACGTGGGCAGCGCGGGCGACTTCACCGCGTCGTTCGTGCCGCTTGACCCCTCGTCGTCTTGCACCAGCGCTCCCTCAGGCAGTCGATCGATCGCCGGCAAGCAGCTCGTCCGCTCCACACCATCGCCGCCGCCACCCTCCGCTTCCTCCTCGCCTGGCCGGACAAACGACGACTGAGAAACGAGCTGCAAATGGGGCGGTCCACACCAGACGGCTAAAGCAAAGTTCTCTCACACCACATAGCTTGTCATTGCGGCAAATTAACCGTGCTAGTGAAAATTGTAAAATATCGTCTTGAACACTGGATTCATTGTTAGCTGCTCCTAACTCGTTGCAGGTCAGTAATTGAGTGCCCAACATTACAGAAAACATGTTAACGAGTAAACACAAATAAGACAATTATATTTTTATATAATTCTCCAACTTAATCCCAATGCCACGTTGGTAGATAATACAAGTACATTTATACAGCCTTATCTACATATGCTTTGCTATACTTGTGCTTTTGTTTTATCTGGGACACACCTCCGTATCAATCACCATGAATAATTAGCAGTTCTGTATTTAAAAAGTACTCAGCGATGCTCATTTACATCGCCAGTCTAGGGGCAATGGGGTAAATTCCACATGTTTGGCAGAGACAAGTCTTTCTTTAAAACAAAGCACTCAATATCAGAACAATGAGCCAGCATTAGCAAATCTGGCAGCCACTCATCATTAAAACAGGAAGTCCACTAAGTTCAGTGGCCTCGGGTAAGTCATCAGTGACTACACAAATAGCATTTAGAATAAATTTGAAATCTTATTTACCTAATCCAAGCTCTCAAAAGTGAAAATTAACAAACACACTGCATGACAGACATGTGGCAAATCACTCTTTGCTAAGCTTGAACAATGAGTGATCTACTGATAAGAAACCAGTAGTCTTAACGTATCATTTTCCAGGATATTCCTTTGCATTTTGAGGTTGTGCTGTGAGAATTCTCGGACATGTATTCCTTCCTCAATTTGACTCTGCCTTGAAAATATATATTTTTATGCAGATCACCTGCAACCAGAGCTTCGTAACACTCAACATACGCAACACTCCCCTGGCTGCCGCCATGCATTAAGGTACTTACCACCATCAGACCTCTCCACGGGGTTTACTTCTTGGTCATCATTTTGACCCGTGACCTTCAGTGGTGGCGAAGCAATATGCAGGAAGATTGGAGCGCCTTCGTCCTGAAGATGCATGCACAATGCCATTAAGATAATTTTTTATAGTTATAGGTGTGATGGAAAAACCAGAAAAATGTTGTTTGGTAAAGTTGAAAGAAAAGGTAACAGAGGTAGATAGAGAATAAGAGAGACAGATAGTACTGAAACTATTACTAGGACAGTAAAATAATGCTCTCAGGAATCCATGCAGAACAAAGGAAGAACATACAAATGCCACACAGAAAGGGAACCGAGTCAGAAATCGAGGCCAGGCCCTACTTGCTGTGAGGCACAAGTGTCAGAACACCTGCCACCCCATCATAGAGTAGCTTCATTATCGAGGTTACGATTACTCGGAAACGTTTAGAAGAACGAGGCAAGTCTGTCCCCACGCACCTCTGCCGAGCGCCGTTCATCATCTGTGCCAGCGAGTGCCGTGATCGCTGCCCCCACGCTGCATTCCTGGATACGCTGGCGGAGGGCGGCCGGGTCCTTTGCTCTCAGCTGCAGGGGATCACAGACGCAGGCAAATTGTGTCGTTTTTTCTGCGTAATGCTCAGCATTCAGGATGAACTGGTTTGGCATTCAAGTCTTTGGTATTTCTAGGGAACCCTAAAAATATCAAAAATGCCTCAGGCTCCAAAGCATCTCATATATGATAGGATGCCCTGTGGCAGAGTTCCTGACTCAAATCCCTCTTAGGGGTCAACTTGGCTCATTATTCCCTTGGGTTCAATAAAATGGCCATCACCATGTGGGATGTGAAGAGTGGTTGTATTTAAGCTGTTTACGACTCCTCACAGAATGAGTCGTCTCTCTCATCATACCTCCCTCAGCTTCGCTAGGGCGGCCTGGGTCCGTAGCTGTCTCTCGGACAGCCCTGTTGCTGGGGTATCGTCTCCGGGAAGGACAGCCGGCAAATTATTTTCACAGCGATCATCTGTGAATGAGGGCATTGCTGTTAGTGACTACTCCAAACCAGTTGGAAATTTCTTGAAGACAAAATAACCTCAAGATATCTGCACTGCCCTTGCTTCTCAAACTCCTTTCCATGATCCCAGCTCAGATACATCTCTTGCTCCAGGCTCCAATGGTCAAGCCGGTCTTGGGCATCAGAGCTTTTTTCTTACCAAGCACCCCCTGATTGGAACCGGTTAGATTCTAATACATTGCTACATGCTTAAAAATGTATCCATTCTGCCATATAACTTATTTCTGTGCACATAATCCGACATTTTATGCTGTTTTATAATATTTAACCACCTATTATATTTGTCACTGTAAAATTATATTTTGAATGCCTAAAATTATATATCACGCTATTGTGCAATATCAGTGGATTACAAATGCAGAATTTGTAAATTGTAAGAGTAATTAATGTCGCTGTCAAATGGAAAGGACCTCCTTGAACATGAGATGTGAATCTCAAGGGTTTATCTTGGTTGATTAAAACTGGGTTTTTTTTTTGCTACTCTGAACCTATCCGAATGTGAGACAAGTGCATGTTGGAGTAGGCTTTGATCTGGTTTAGGTTTACAACTGGCGAGACAAACCAAGGGTGTTAGGCTCCGGATTAAATTTATTATTTGGTTTTAGTTGGGTTCAAGTTAAGGGCCGCTGGTTAGTCCTTAAGCCAATCTGTATGGTTAGGCTACGGCTAAAAGTATGGTTTATGCTGACAGTTATAGTTATGCTATGCAAGGATTTGTCAACTCATTGTTAAGGTCTGACTAGAATCATGCATAAGCCCAGAGCCTTTAGCGTCAGAGATAAGCTATAGTGTGCGTCTTAGACTCAATAATCTTTATTAGTCTGTAATGGGCTAATATATAATGGTTAGGCTCTAATCTCTATTAGTTTCAGGGTTAGACTCTGTACTCAACCAGAAACTAAATTACGATATAGAACCCTAACACACCGCCAGCTACAGTAGTTGTTGCCAAATATCTGGTGATTGGCTGTGGTTTAACTTGTGCGGGGTAAACCACGGCAAGAGCCAGGGTGGATTGCACAGACCTGCAGCAGCGGCTAGTAGCGGGATCTCGGTGGTCATCGCTTCCGGGAAGACGACCTTAGTGGAGTGCACCACAAGCAGAACGTCCACCTGCGTCAACACATGACCTGCCACATTACACCCTTCAACTGACATTGTCAGTCACCGTTAATAACTATTTCTAATTTACAAGGTAAAGCCCAATGAGCTACTGTATATAGCTTTTTTTCAGGGGCGACCTGGCCACAAATGACAGCTCAACGAAGTGGCTGATCATATGGAAATTTATAGCAGCCACATACTCTTAAACGCATCCGGAGGACCCGGAGAAATATCCACGCGATCACGAGGATAACATGCAATCTCTAAATATACAGGCATCAGGGTCGGGAGCGAACCCACAATCTCCTGTATACCAGGCAAAGGAGATAACATCTCGCCACCACAGCGCCCCTCTTGTGCAACCCAACGACTGCTGACGAGAATTGGTATTTTTCCCGTGATCCATGTCCTGCAATTATTTTATAGGGCTTTCAAGATGCTTTCATTTAGATGCTGGTTACTTAAAATTGTATTGTAAATCTGGTGAGAGTAAGAGTTTAAAAAAATACATGAACATGTCATATAGTAAACCAAACATTACATTGTTTTTTATTTGACCAATAAAGAATTCACTCGCATGCAAAATTATTTAATGGAAAAGGTTTTAGCGGTATTAAAATTAACTAAGAAAAGGTTGTTGTTTTCCCCAGAAATACTGCCCAAAATTTGAAATAAAAAATTCAATTGTTCAGAAATTACACTTGTAAAGACATAAAATGCATATAATTATTATTCATAATTAGTTATGATAATTAGGACAGTTCAACAGGGTGAGTAAAATCATTCGCGAGCAAGCTACCGGCCAGGAAGCTTCCAACATAATGACTCCTATTGGATTTCCACATGCGTCCACGCACAGCACATGAAAAGCCTTCACAAGACCTCACAAACACCCACATGAGCGGTCACACCAGCAGAGCTCCTGAACATGGTGGCCGGCACAGGCTGGGGCACTGAAGGTAGTGGTGGTGTGCTGGTAAAGACATTGATGACAGCGATAGTGGTGTCTGAAGATGCCGGAATTAATAGGGAGGGAGCAGACGCGCGTCAAATCGCTCAAGCAAAGAGCTCCAAATCCGGTGGCCAGACAGGGTGGAAAGGACATCCACAAGCCACGTAGGAGATGAGGGTGGTGGAAGTGACATGTCATTGGACAGTATTAGGATGCCACATTGGTGAGATGTTAACTACCTCGCCTGGTATACATGAGGTTGTGGGTTCAATCTCGACTCTACCATCTGTATATTTGGAGTTTGCATGTTCAATTCAGCATCACAATTGGATACAAGATTCAATATTTTTGTCGTGTTTGTCGTCTTTCATTTGTATTGTCTGTCTCAGTCTTCATTCTTGTTCATTCTATTAGACTAGAGCAGGGGTGGGGAACATCCGGCCCGCGGGCCGTATAAGGTCCGCGGGCCGTATAAGGCCCGCGAAATCATTTAGTCTGGCCCTGCCAAGGCAACCGCAGGCGGGATTCGAAAATCAATAAATCTAGGAGCAAAGCTGGAAAAGCAGTAGCGAGTAGCAACATCATCAATACCAGTTTAACACGTAGGCTTTCGCGACCAATATTATTCATAATAAAGGTTTTTGGGTTAGATCGCATTATTTATAAATGTGTCGTAACCCTCCACCACCCGACACGGCCAATCAACACTTTATTTTGCTGATTGGCCGTGTCGGGTGGTGGAGGGTTACGACACATTTATAAATAACGCGATCTAACCCAAAAACCTTTATTATGAATCATCAATACCAGCTAACATCACACACCTCACCAAAGAGAAGCAGTTCCAGCCATCACATTAGGGGTGAGTTAATTAAATGTTTGACCAAATATAACAGGCTAATTTTTAAGTGGATAATTGTGTATGGCCCGCGAATGATGTTATAAATATCAAAATGGCCCTTGGCAGAAAAAAGGTTCCCCACCCCTGGTCTAGAGGCACATTTGGATACACTTTATACATTCATACATATATATTTATTATGCCCAATTTGATGCATGACCATAAGCATGAGTCAATTCTAATTGAAGGATATCCTGGAAAAGCCTGACAATCAACAAAAGCTAATTGTTCAAAAAATGTGGGTTTTGTTCAGGATAGGTGGATTGCATGGATGGAATAAGTACATTTTAAGTGTAGCATGTGGCTGTCTGTGAAAAAATGATGCACTAAAAGTTGTATCTGACCATGTAGTATTTAAATATAACTAGTGTAGGTTGTTTGAAATACATATATTTGGAGATCACGCTTCATAGGAAATCTCTCATTTTAAGCATCCATGAAGTTTCATTTCCTAAGTAACATCACGACAGTTCTATTCTCTTGGATACACAGCCAAGGTACACATTACAAGAGCTGTTAGTTTTTTTTTTCTGGTTTCACCTCCCAGGAAAGCGGACCCTTTCATCCCACACCTCTTGGTGGGCAGTGGTGCCGACTGCCCTCTGTGGTGGTGGCGGTAGCAGCGGCGCTCCGGTTGTAGGCGGGGAGGCCGAGTGGCCCTCCCACGACGAGATGCGCTGGGCGAGGGCGGCGGGACCCACGCGGCGCACGGGCGATGGGCGCACGTCAAGGCGAGCGCGCGGGCCCCATGTGGGGCTCACGGGGCCGGGCCAGTTCTCCGACGATTCTTCCTCTGCACGGGGGAGAAAGCATTGAACACCAAACGGGAAGAGCGAAACAAAAAAATACGTGTCGTAAGTGGTCATAATGGGGGTAGGCGCTAGGATTATTGTCTACTTTGCTTAGAGTTAGTTCTTGTGTTAATGTCTGTCTGACTCGTGCGGTTATGGTTAGGTATAGTGTTTGTTGTGGTTCAGGTTAGTGTTAGACCTATGGTATGGTTGGCTAGCGTGCTTATGCTGTTATTAGGACTATAGTCCGGTGGATTTCTCATTCAATATAATTTTCCTCAGTCTCAAATAAAACCTAGGTGGCAATGAGATTGGAGTACTCATCTCAATTCGTAGGTTGCTTGACTCAGACAATTATTATGCCAGGGCAGTGAACGATATTGTAATCAATCATAGTTCCAACAAATAAAGAATGCAGAATTTCCATAATTGGTTTAGAGCCTCAAACCAGTGTCATCAATTACTCGTTTAAGTAGGTAGACGACTTGATTTCCTTACGTGAGGGTTAGAGTTATGGGTTAGAGCAGGGGTGGGGAACGTTCGGCCCGCAGGCCGTATAAAGCCCACAAAATCATTTGGTCTGGCCCTGCCAAGGCAACCGCAGGCAGGACTCGAAATTCAATAAATCTAGGAGCAAACCTGGAAAAGCAGTTGCGAGTAGCAACATCATCAATACCAGCTAAAATCACACGCATCACCAAAGAGAAGCAATTCCAGCCATCACATTAGGAGTGAGTTAATGAAATGTTTGACCAAATATAACAGGCTAATTTTTAAGTTGATTTTTGTATGGCCCGCAAATGGCCCTTGGCAGAAAAAGGTTCCCCACCCCTGGGTTAGAGTAACGTTATATCATGCTCAGCATTCAGCACTTTCTACATTCAAGGAAAAAAACCCGTTTAGTTTACGTTTTTGAAACACCCTCCTAAAGGAGTGTAACTCCAGTCCTCAAAATCCAACGTAGCACAGCTTTCCGTGACTACCAACCATCAGGTGCAAACAACGTGTAGCGGGTAAAGTTGCATATGAATGGTAAACATGAGTGAACATGGAAAAACAGTCCGCGGGGATGTCGCAAGAACGGGAGTTTGAGAAACAGTGTCTGAGTATTAAGTTATAATTTGTGAATCGAGAAAGAATCACTCTGCTTTTCTGAAACCCTTCGTGTCATGATTAGTTTCATTTTGGTGCATTTCTTTCAAAGATGGTGCGACTGCAGCCCCACGTAAGGAGAGCTCCTCTGTGGCGATTGCTGGCATCCCTACCGTCTCCAATCTGTTGGGAGAGGTTGCGTAGCCGCGATCGCACCGACGCGATGGCAGGGGTGTCCGCCTTCACCGAACGCTCTACCCTGCGCGAATCCAGGCTCTGGCTCCTTGGGGCTGGGGAGCTCCCCCCCTCCAAAGTCACGTCCCCTGCACACAGACGCTTGGAGGGCGACGGGATGCTGGCTCCGACTGATCACAGGGCAAGAAGCGGGCAATTGTCAGAAAGCATTGGTCTCTGTTGCAGCCCAGTACTGGTGCTTTATTATTATTATCTGAGGTTGTCTTTGCATTTCAACATCACATTAATACAAATGCTCACAACCTGAGATTGGAAAACCAGGTGGCCTTTATTGCCTCACTATACTGAAAACTCAAGCTGCTACAGGTCAGAACAAAACTGTATGGAATCATGCAAATCTATTATCATTGATTGAGACAACTATTTTGATCCTACATTGGGAAATGTGTCCAATTCCATTGATGCTTATCTTGCATCTAGGAGTGAATCAGATTACCCTAAGGAAACCTAACAAATATAAAATTATAACGCTCCAAAATTTCACATAGACGGATTCATGAACCCAATCACTGTACTGCCATATCATCTATACCTCAAAGCCTAAAGGGTTTGTAAGTCTCACCAGTCTTGATGATGAACCAGACCTTTACCTCCAAAGGGCTGTCCATGCCCACCCAAGGCTTGAAACATTGAACAAACAGAGTGGTTAATACTGTGCTCTTATCTGACTATTCTCGCTATTTTTTTTACACAAGCCTGCTTTGTATCCAGCCAGGTGGTACTGTGGTCAGAGATAGGCCTTGGCAAGGTAAGGTAAAATTTCGATTTAAAGCTTTTGTGACTGCAAGGATTCATCTTCTTTGGTTTTCGGTAAAGTCACGTAGAATGAGAATAAAATAATAAATTGATAAAATAAAATAACACAATAATATTCTCACGACGTTTCGGCCACAACACAAGCGGCCTTCATCAGGTGAAGGGACGAGACTGTCTGGAGGACAGCGCTGGAGTGAAAAAGCCACGCTCAGATCACGACCTTTAAGCTGTGTGAGAAGAAACAAAGCGCCTTGACAAAGGAATTAGCATATAATTTAGCATTGAAATTGCTGAGTGACTAGCTTGTGACTGGTCACAGAAATGGCTATGTTAAAGTTAAAGCATACACATCCGCAAAGGCACCCCTTGACAAAGGAATTAGCGTAGAATTTAGCATTGAACAGCTAAGTTAAAGTATACACATCCGCAGAGGCACCCCTTGACAAAGGAATTAGCATAGAATTTAGCATTAAAATAGCTGAGTGATTAGCTTGTAACTGGTCACAGAAATAGCTATGTTAAAGTCAGAGCATATACATTCACCGAGGCACCTAGTACAAATCAAACAGGAGAATTTAGCATTGAAATAACTAGGCGAATTTAGCATTGAAATAACTGAGTGATTAGCTTGTGACTGGTCACAGAAATGGCTATGTTGAAGTCAAGGCCTACACATCTGAGCTATTCACAGTAACTGGGTATACAATACAATATATAATGAATACTATAGTGAACCAATAAAAAACTAAAATATAAATTACCTCAATGTTATCAATGAACTCTATATTCTCCAATCAGCTAAGCTACCAACAATAAGTCGTTATATATCACAATGCTATATGGCGAAAAAATGGGTGGATTCTTACCCTCAACTTTAGCAACACGGATAGCTACGGGTCCCGTTCAGATGGACGAGTTCATCCATGGTCGGAACAGAGGAGGGGGAGAGAGACAGCTGCGAGGCGCTGTTATACTCCATGTTGTAAACCATTCCATTAACCGTGGTGTGAGAGGTATTAATTTGAAACTGACGCCATCCAGACTGCCACTCTACGCCCGACCTTATGGAAGAGGTACGTGGATGACACCTTTGTCATCTGGCCACATGGCCAGCCTGCTCTAGACCAATTCCGCGACCACATCAATTCCATACACCCAGCCATCAGATTTACCATGGAGGTCGAAAAAGATGGCAAACTACCATTTTTGGATGTCTTAATTAAAAGGAGACATAGTTCATAGTTCATTTATTTGGTATAGCCCTGTGAGCCATTCGGCTCTTGAATCGGGTGCAACCGCAACAAAAAAAAACATGAACAAGAAAACAACTTAAAGTGATTATGTGACTGTGCAAACAGAAAATACAGGAAAAAAATATCAAAATATTCCTGAAATAGCACCGTACACCAACGCTGTGTGCAAAAATCCCAGTGGGATGCAAGTCAAATAACGACAACAACAACCACAAGACAACTAAGATTAAAGCCATCAGTCTAACTCCGTACTACAATAAACAAAAACATGGCCAAAACCAAAAAAACTTTTCGAAATCACCAAAATAAAAGCCATAAATCCAATGTAACAGTGATTATAGGGACTGTGACCGAATTTTTAACAATAAACTACGTAAATAAATTATAACACCAAAATCTAGAGCCATATTTTAGGTCACTGAATAGCAGTGGCAGCTAGGGTTGTACAACTCCTCTAGAGCAGTTTTGAGTGAAGATCTCATAGGTAGTGATTCAAGTTGCAGTTTATTGGCAATAGCATTCCAGACCCTGGGGGCATCAATAGCAAAGGCCCTTCCTCCAGTTTCTGTACGGCAATAGGGAATGTGAAGCTGGTAAATGAGCGAAGACCTGAGGTCAAATTTGTTCTTTGAAACAGAGAGGAGATCCAGTAGGTAGTGTGCGGAATTTTTTGTAAGTACATCGTGAATAAATAAGATCTGGTGCACAAGCCGTCGAACATTAAGAGATGTTAAGTTTGACCCAATGTAGAGATCACAGTGGTGAGTCCTATATGGGCAGTTCAATGCAAATCTTAAGGCTGAGTGATAGATGGAATCAAGCTTCTTCAGTACAGTACTTGGGGCTGATTTATACACGATGTCACAGTAGTCAAGTAGAGGCAGTATGGTAGCTTTTATCAATTCCAAACGGAATATTGGGGGGAAGCAGTGCTTGTGTCGATACAGAAAACCAAATTTTGTCTTTTTACCAATATAATAAATGTGATCTTCAAAACTAAGTTTTGAATCCAGGATGACCCCAAGATACTTATAGATCTTGACTTGCTCTATTTGATAATTATTCAAGGAATGTAATTGGGGAAAAATAACTTCCTGCTTTAGTCCCGGAGAGAAGCATAGCACCTTGGTTTTGGAGGTATTCAGGACTAGTTTAAGAGAAACTAGCTGATGTTGTAGTTTGTTGAAATCACCCTGGAGCTTAGCAATCACGTCATCCGGAGAGCGGCCAGCAGTAATCAGTATCGTGTCATCTGCAAAAAGATTTACCCTGGAATGATCCAGTTCAGTGCCCAAGTCATTGATATAAAGAGAGAACAAGAGGGGGCCGAGGATGGAACCCTGTGGAACCCCGTTTGTTATCTTAACACTGTTTGACCTCCAACCATCTGTGAATACAGTTTGGGTGCGAGAAAAGAGGTAATTTTTTTTAACCATTGTACTGTGTTCTCGGAAAAACCGAGGCAACTTAGTTTACTAAGCAGGGTGTTGTGGTCAACTGTATCAAAAGCTTTGGACAGGTCAAGAAAAAGACAGGCACAGTACTGCTTATTATCAAGGCTATTGTAAATTTGATTCAAAGAATCTAATGCAGCAGATGTGGTGCTGTATTTTTTCCAGAACCCAGATTGTTTTAGATGTAGTAGATTGTTGGTGGACAGGAAACTGCTAATTTGGTAGTTCAATGAGCCACTCTGTCTACAGGAAAGCTACCCATACAGATGCTTACTTGAAACCGGATTCCCACCACCATCCATCCCAGAAGAACTCCCTCATCAAGACTCTATACCATAGAGCCCAATGCATTTCCGACCAGGAACACATTACCAGTGAACTCAAGCACGTACACCAGGCTCTCAGGGCTAATGGCTACTCCGACTACACAATCCGCAAAGCCATCACTCCAGTCATGAAGAAGGATCCTCTTGTGGAGCCACTCAAAACCATCACCTTACCCTACATTGCAGGGGTCACTAAAAATATCTCCAAAATCCTGAATAACACACAAGATCCAGGTCCGATTCAACACAGTACAGAAAATCCGTGATCTAGTTCCATCTGTAAAAGATGCTGTTCCAGACATACAGTACCCGGGCGTTTACAAACTAAAGTGCCTCTGTGGTAGTAGCTACATTGGAGAAACCAAACGACATATCTCGGACCGCATCCGCGAACATAAAGCAGACTTGAAACACGGTAGAACGAACTCCTCTGCCGTGGCCGATCACTGTTATAATTCAGTGGGCTCACATGACATTGACTTCTCCAAGACGGAGGTTCTTTGAAAACCAACCGGCTACCAGGAGAGATTCGTTCATGAGGCCATTCACATATACAAGCACAGAGACAATTTCAACCGAGAAGATGGATTCTGGCTTAGTAACCATTGGAAAGATGTTTTAAACCATTTCCGTTCTTAATTAATTGTATTTTACGATGACCTTCAGACCGCAGCTCTTTCGCTGGCATTGACTCTTAATACCTCTCACACCACCGTTAATGGTATGGTTTACACCATGGAGTATAACAGCGCCTCGCAGCTGTCTCTCTCCCCCTCCTCTGTTCCAATCATGGATGAACTCGTCCGTCTGAACGGGACCCGTAGCTATCCGTGTTGCTAAAGTTGAGGGTAAAAATCCACCCATTTTTTCGCCATATAGCATTGCGATATATAACGACTTATTGTTGGTAGCTTAGCTGATTGGAGAATATAGAGTTTATTGATAACATTGAGGTAATTTATATTTTAGTTTTTTATTGGTTCACTATATAGTATTCATTATATATTGTATTGTATACCCAGTTACTGTGAATAGCTCAGATGTGTAGGCCTTGACTTCAACATAGCCATTTCTGTGACCAGTCACAAGCTAATCACTCAGTTATTTCAATGCTAAATTCGCCTAGTTATTTCAATGCTAAATTCTCCTGTTTGATTTGTACTAGGTGCCTCGGTGAATGTATATGCTCTGACTTTAACATAGCTATTTCTGTGACCAGTTACAAGCTAATCACTCAGCTATTTCAATGCTAAATTCTATGCTAATTCCTTTGTCAAGGGGTGCCTCTGCGGATGTGTATATTTTAACTTAGCTATTTCAATGCTAAATACTATGCTAATTCCTTTGTCAAGGGGTGCCTTTGCGGATGTGTATGCTTTAACTTTAACATAGCCATTTCTGTGACCAGTCACAAGCTAATCACTCAGCCATTTCAATGCTAAATTATATGCTAATACCTTTGTCAAGGCGCTTTGTTTCTTCTCACACAGCTTAAAGGTCGTGATCTGAGCGTGGCTTTTTCACTCCAGCGCTGTCCTCCAGACAGTCTCGTCTCTTCACCTGATGAAGGCCGCTTGTGTTGTGGCCGAAACGTCGTGAGAATATTATTGTGTTATTTTATTTTATCAATTTATTATTTTATTCTCATTCTACGTGACTTTACCGAAAGAACCAAAGAAAAAGGTAAGGTAATTTACCCTTTTTACCGGGTAAAAGGGTAAAGGTAAAGGGTAAAGGTGTCGACATGCCAAGGGGTAAGGTAAAGGGTAGGGTAAAGGTAGCTTCGAAGAATTATCCGGTAAGGTAAAGGTAGCGCGAAGTATTACCCGGTAAATACGGTACCTTTTTTACCGCTAAAAGCTCCGTGGCGCAGTCCGTGGCCCCCATTTAATAAGTAATATAAATAAAAAAAACTTTTTTTAAACACGCTGAAATGTACTGTACGAGTAATGGCAGAACTCCACGACTCCAGGAAGTGGCCCCGAAGCTTGCCATAACGTAAGGGACCATGGCCAATTACAGCCAACGTCAGTTGACAGTGGACAATTAGACCCAAGCCGAAACATAACGTAAAAAATAATTTTGATTTAAAGCTTTCGTGACTGCAGTAATTCATATTCTTAGCTCTTTCAGTAAAGTCACGTTGAAGGGAAACAATAAAATAATAAAATATATAAAACAATAAAAATTCTCACGACGTTTCGACCATAACACAAACGGTCGTCATCAGGTGTGTCGGTTCACATTAATTTATTTATTTTTTACGGTGTATTTATTTATAAAAAAACGTCAGCGCCACGCGCAGCGATTTGGCAGTTTATTTAGAAGGACGAGTCCATCTATGTTCTGAAAAGAGGAGGGGGGAGACGAAAAATTAATGTATGCTGTCTGAAAGCCACTGTAAGCGTGAACAATCAATTAAGGCCTGAAATGTTTTATCAAATCTTTCCAATGATTGCTAAGCCAGAATCCATCTTCTCGGTTGAAATTGTCTCTGTGCTTGTATATGTGGATAGCCTCATGAACGAATCTCTCATGGTAGCCAGATGGCTTACAAATAACCTCTGTCTTGGAAAAGTCAATGTCATGTGAGCCTACTGAATTATAACAATGATCTGCCACGGCCGAGGTGTTGGTCCTACCGTGTTTAAGGTCTGCTTTGTGTTCACGAATGCGATCCGAGACATGGCGTTTGGTTTCTCCAATGTAACTACTACCAGAGGCAACTTAGTTTGTAGACATCAGGGTACTGTATGTCCGGAATCACATCTTTTACAGACGGAACCAGATCACGGATTTTATGTAATGTGTTGAAACGGACCTGGATTTTGTGTTTATTCAAGATTTTAGAGATCTTTTTTGTGATCCCCGCAATGAAGGGTAAAGTGATGGTTTTGAAAGGCTCCTCAAGAGGGTCCTTCTTCATGGTTTGAGTGATAGCTTTGCAGATTGTATAGGAACACATAGGCAGTGAACTCAAGCACGTACACCAAGCTCTTAAGGCTAATGGTTACTCCGACTATACAGTAACAGTAGTTACATTGGAGAAACCAAACGCCATGTCTCGGACCGCATTCGTGAACACAAAGCAGACCTTAAACACGGTAGGACCAACACCTCGGCCATGGCAGATCATTGTTATAATTCAGTAGGCTCACATGACATTGCCTTTTCCAAGACAGAGGTTCTTTGTAAGCCATCTGGCTACCATGAGAGATTCGTTCATGAGGCTATCCACATATACAAGCACAGAGACAATTTCAACCGAGGAGATGGATTCTGGCTTAGCAATCATTGGAAAGATTTGATAAACCATTTCAGGTCTTAATTGATTGTTCACGCTTACAGTGGCTTTCAGACAGCATACATTAATTTTTCGTCTCCCCCCTCCTCTTTTCAGAAAATAGATGGACTCGTCCCTCTAAATAAACTGCCAAATCGCTGCGCGTGGCGCTGACGTTTTTTATAAATACACCGTTTAAAAATAAATAAATTAATGCAAACCGACACACCTGATGACGACCGTTTGTGTTATGGTCGAAACGTCGTGAGAATTTTTATTGTTTTATATATTTTATTGTTTCCCTTCAACGTGACTTTACCGAAAGAGCTAAGAATATAAAAAATAATGTTTATTTTTTTTATTTTTAATGATAGAATATAGTATTGTCATCAGTATGACATAAGTACACCAAGTTTGCAGTCGATACCACATTGGAAAGCGAGTTAAAATTCAGTTACAAGATTTGAGGATACAACGACAACAACAACAGAGTAATTAAAAGAAAGCGTGTAAAATTGGAATCATCGAGAGTATTCAATATGAATAAAGCGCTCTACCTAGCATTTACCTGTTAAACCTTTTTCATGTGTAGTACCCCAAAAATTACCCTGTAATCGGGTAATTTGTATGGGGTAAGGGTAAAAGGTAGGGTAAACGTAGGCTCGTTGCTTTTAACCTTTTACCTTACCTGCTAAAGGGTAAAATGTAGGGAAGAGTGATTGTATTGTGGTAAGGTAAAAGGTAGGGTAAAGGTAGGCTCATTGTTTTTATCTTTTACCTTACCTTGCCTTGCCGAGGCCTAGTCAGAGATATCAACAAGTGGAAGGCTATACAATTTTAATTCCAGTCAGGGTTAATAATAATACTAAAACAATGTATAATGTAAAAAGGAAATTAATGCTTGATAACGACTTGGGAGGCATAGGGTTGATTCCGCCTGTAATCTGTTTGGGGTTAAACATTTTTTTATCAATTTGTAAAAAGGTTAAAATGTGTTGTCCTATGGAAGGACTGGCCTATCATAAGTGTTGAATTTCCAAAACCAGCTCAGGGCAACCAAGGGAGACGGGCACTGCTCATTGCTCATTTTAGCACATATTTCACAACTGATGCCATGCCTTAGGCAGTGCTGTCGCTGTAGAATCCTATCTTTTAAATGTAGACTTTACACAGCAGCATTGTAAAAACAACCTGGTGCCTTCTGAGCCGCGCGGGGCTGGCTCGGCAAGGCTCCGGTGCGGCTTAGTGGTAAGGTTGAAAAGATGTATAAGCTGAATATAGAAGCCCATGTGCACGAGTCACTGCACTCGTATCAATGCAGTAATACTAGTTATGTTGGCACATGGGTGCCATGTGGGAACCTTGATTGCTCTTTCCGCAAGGGGGCTCCTGGGTCGTGAGGGGAGTCAGGGTACCGCCTCGCATGTTGGCATCGGTCAAAGGCTCACGCAGCCTCTTGCTGGGGCTTGGCCGCTCACTCATTTTCTGCTGTAGTAGCTCGCGGCGTGCGCGCGTGCGCTCCAGCAGCTTCTGCAAACGCAAAGCAATGTTCACACCACAACATGCCTTTGGAGAAACAGCATTTCAACGATAACCTTGGCAGCCAGTCTGTGGAGCAGTGTTTAATACACAATCATTTAACTAACAAAAAATAATTACAATAGTGGTACATGATATCTGAAATGGCCCTGGACACCCTACTTAAAACTGCAAGTTGGTCAAACAACTTTCATGACTGACAGCATGGTGAGGCCTTCATGTAGCAGTCAATAGACCTTGGACTGTAATGGGGCGAGATGTTAACTGTATCACTTGGTATGCAAGAGGTAGTGGGTTCGATCCCAACCCTGACGCCTGTATATTTGGAGTTTGCATGTTCTCCCAATGATCGCGTGACTTTTTCCCTCCACATTTAGAAACGTGTTCAGAGTATTTGGCTGCTATACATTTCCAGATGATAAGCCACATAGTTGAGCTACCATTTGTGGTCAGGTCACTTCTGAAAAAGATCTATATTGCTCAGTGGGCCTTACCTGGTAAAATAAAAATAGTTAATGTTTTAATCTTGATTTGAAGCTTTCGTAACTGCAGGAATCCATACTCTTTGGTTCTTTTGGTAAAGTCACGCAAGTAGAAATAAAACAAAATAAATCACGTCGATGTCAGTCTATGTGTAATAAATAGCATTGTCATCTTCTGGATCGCTAACACGGGTGCTTTTGTCACACATGGACATGCAACCACCGGCATGACTGCATCGACTTGCTCATCTATCACTGCCTTTAACATATTCTCAATGACTTCGCTCATGTACTTTTACATGCTTTTCTCATTGACTTTAACATGCTATTCTTTGTTACACGTAAACTGACATTAAATTGCAATTTTTTTCATTAACTTTTACATTCTTCTCTCATTAAAACACATTCTCTCTCTCCCCCGAGCCGTTCTTATGCTAAGTTCATTAACTTTAACATACCACACTATTTATTACAGACTGACATCGACTTGCTCATCTCTCATTGACTTTAATGATATTCTCATTAACTTTGACATGCTTTTCTCATCAACTTTAACATGCTATTCTTGGTTACACAGACTGACATTAACTTTCTAAGTTTTTCATTAACTTTTACATGCTTCTCTCATCAAAATACATATGCTAATCCTATATGCTAATCTGAGCTCTTATGCGCTACGGAAGCTCTCTAACTTTGCACTATAATCCAGCATGCTAATCTAAGTTCATTTCCTTTAACATGCCACGCTATTGCATTACCTTTGCACTATAATACCCCATTAACACTACTTAGGCTACCTTTGTTCTCAAAAACGTATATAAACTCTTGCTGGTGTAGTGTTGTAAAGACGAGCAGACTTCTTAGGAGGCACACTGTTTATTGTATTAATTCCTCATACAATGCTTAACACACACAGAGGGATATATGGTCCCCTCACCCGATACCCTAGGGAGGTACAGCCTCCGGGCTTGGCGGGACTCACGCGTCTACCGCTAACCTCCTTGATACCTAGGGAGGTACAGCCTCCGGACTTGGCGGGACTCACACGTCTACCGCTAACCTAGCCTAGAGTCCTCCGGCTAGGACCTAGGGGAGGCTATCTGACCAACCGCTGGCCCGGTGGGTCCTGACCACTGGGTATGCCGAGCCTTAGCCCTTAGAAGGGCTGGGAGGCTGGTCTAGGGTCCTGGCTAGGCTTCAGCCCAGTCTTCTGTCTTCGTGCAGGGAGAGAACTCCCCGAGGTCTGTTGGGTCACCCGTCTTATACTCCTTCGTGGCCAGGTAGAACCAATCATACATTCCCACGTGGAACCGTCTGATTGGTTCGTACCAAACCCTGGCTACGATCCGTTTCACCTCGACTGACCCCAACCGTTGTACCCAGAGGTAATGCCGCACTGCCCTGGTGGCAATGCAGGTTACGAAACAGTGCGTAGTTAACACCTCTACACTGGTAACAACTTCTCTTCACAAGGCAGCAGACATCATGCTGCTCGTAGCAGACATCGCGGCTGTCGCGATTTTCACCTGAAGACGATGGCTTGTGTTGCTATCGAAACGTCGTGATTTATTGTTTTATTTTTACCTACGTGACTTTACCGAAAGAACCAAAGAGTAGAGTTAATGTTTTATGCAGTATTTAGAACCAGGCAAGAACCTACTGGGAGAAATTCTCATCACGCAGGATACCCGAGTGAAATAGGAGGCATGTTTCAAAGTACACATGATGTGTAGAAACAAAACCAATCGAAACCCTCAGATTTGCAAGATTCTTTATGAGTCCCACATTGGGGTGTTTGGCCAGTTATGGTTATTTCATGGAATATATTCAGAAAAAAAGTATTCAGAGTGTACACAATAATTGATGGGGATAACACTTAAAATCCACCGATCGGTCAACATTATTACGTTTACTTGTGAGAGGAAATCGGTATTCCTGGATAAAATAAACAAATACAGTCTAATACAGTACCCAGATGTCCTGATATCTCATGACCACACAGCCCAGCAGGCCGGGTGTTACACAAAACACAGGAAGTTGAACCTTGTGTCCAATACAATGGATACAGATATATGCTACTGCAAGCAGCAGCATTTGTACTGCACTGCACATAACAGCCTAATTGGAGTAAAAATCACTTTACAACTTTAGTAAAAAGTCATTGCGACCAACCATTTCTAAACGCAATATTTTATTCTGAAAAAAGACTGGCACAGTTGCCAAACTAGGGCCCACAGAGGGAATATCGCCATTTTATGTGAAAAGCAAGGTTTGAATTTGGTGCCAAACAGACCAACAATTAATGGAATCTGTCGGCGGTTTGTCTCAAATTCCAGGGGGTGGGTCACGTGAGGGGGCGCGTCAAGTAAGCTGTGCCCCAGAGTGGAATGCCTCGTGTAATGGCCAACCAGCAGGAATCCTGTTCCAACAGCTTCGGCAACACAATTCTTTCTATTCCATTAATAACTTCACTATTAACAGGTGGAAAGTCCTTGCTTGTAAATGTGTTGCTGTGGTGGCATTTACTGCAAGGTCTTAATTGAAGATTTACCATAAACATGTACATTAAAGTTGACTACATTTCCATTAGGCTACAGGATAGTAAGAGGGAATATGAATGATTTGATTATTTTATAAAAATACTTCTTTTAATCGCGATGACAGACGCCTCCGCAGTAGGGAAACGCCGACCGGAGGTGAGAAAAAATGGCAAAAGTTGCTCTACAGACTCTACACGTTTCGGACAGGGGCCAAACACAGGCATATCTGTCCTTCGTCAGGAGCTCAGACCCCTCTGCATGCATGGCTAGAAGATAATATATACTTAAGGTGCATTATAGAGTACTTTAACAGTACAGAAAGCAAACATTAAAAAAACTTTCAGATCCACAAAATAATGTTCCATAACGCTAAGTGGTGTTTGTAGATTACAAGTAACACGAACAAATTACTAATAACGGATTAAGTCAACAAGAGCGGTGTTTGTACTTGGTGGTTTTTCCAATGAAAGCATTTGGTTCTACCTCTGGAATGTGGAATTTCCACCACTGGAACGTGAAATCTCACAACTAGCTTGATACCACTCATTAAGTTGCGCACTTCCCAATGCTTCTTTGAGCCGGAGGGCACCGACACGGTGCGTATGCTACAGCGAGGCTGATTCACGAACCGCAATTGCAGGTAATAATGTGCAGTTTAACGAATGAGAATTACATCAATTTAACAATATCAAGGGAAAAGCAAAAGTCTACTTGTTAGTAAAATTGCCGTTTAACTGCCCAGTGTATGGTAGTGATATTTCTGTGAAATTTGGTTATGCTGCTCTTGTAAATATCCCTCAGGTGCTAAATATATTGTGTTTGAAAGGATTTTGCTCATTTATGTAATATTGTTCGATTTACTTTGATAAATTTATGCTCATCTTTGGTGCTTAAGTTGCTTTGCCAAGCTGTCCTGTACGGGTTTGAAGCTATGTTAAGGGGAAACAGGCATTAAAGGTATGGTTAAACATGTCTATGGTACATAAATGCAGTTGTGACTGCAGGGACTATGATTGACTGCATGCCCGTGACTTAACACAGTACCTATTTTAAGGACTGTGCTGACTAACAGCTGTTACAACTCTTAAGACTGCCCTCAGCTGACACGATATTAAACCTCAGGAAATCAAACGTCTAAGGGGACAAATGAAAATGTTATTTTTTTATGCACAGCCCATTGTCAATCCATTCTTGGATGACAACCGCCATGGCGTTATCGGTCATGGGGGTTGTTTGACCATACTTCACCACGCTAGTCATTGCGGGTTGAAGGTCGAGGCTCAGGCACGGTTCTGATATAGATCGCCACTGATGTGAGCCGCGGCCAGGAATAGGCTGGCACCGCTTAGCAATCATTCACTATAAACATATAAAATAGCATTTGCTATGAAAAATATAAGGATGTATATAGTGTCTAACGACCAACAACAACACCACGTATGATGTCAACTTAGGCGCGACAACCTTTACATGTGAATCCACTACGGTACTTTTATTTCAAACTGGCTTAGGGCCGCAAACTTCTAACCATACCGTGCAAGCAAAACGAAAAAATAAAGCAATCTTTCACTGTGCAGGACCTCACCTGCGTGAAGGGATCCATCGCGCCGGAGTTTTGTCGGAGGCGAGCTGGTGTTGATGAGTAGACGGGGTTGAAGGTGTCTGCCGAGTCAGCTATGAGCTTGAATCTTGGCGTCGCGTTTCGGGCTCCGGACGGAGCAGGGCCGCGCCACACAACGTCACGGCGCGCGTTTGAACTGTCGCGGAGAGCATCACGGGTAATAACGGGCGCTTTCAGTGACGTTTGTGTGAACGCGACGGGAACCTCACTGCTTAATGACGTCATACGAATGTACGCGCGCTAAAGGTTTAATGACGCTATCGCGACGACGTCGTGTGTAAACAATGATGGCGTTAGTCTCACACCCTAAGCTCCATTACATAAAAAAATGTGGAGCACACTACAGTACTATAAATTTCGAATTACGTCATCGCAATAAAAAATCCTTTCGGGCACGTCAGGCGCGAACATCGGGACGTCATCTCGCAGGAAAGGGCCGGGAAAAATAACGCAATGATAATCTCAGCCTGGACACCGGATCGCCGTGCATGACGTCATCCTGTTTTAAAAGTGACGTCACACCACAACGGTGATCCCCGTTGCACGGTTTCATATTTCTAGATTTGAAGCTTTCGTGACTGCAAGGATTCATACTCTTTGGTTTTATTCGATAAAGTCACGTTGGTAAAATAAAATCAAAGAAAACAATTAAATCACGACGTTTCGGAGGCAACACAAGCTTCCGCATTCAGGTGTAATAGTCATTTTTAAGTAACTCCCATCATTGAGTAGGGCCTGGATTTTGTTGTTGTATGAGTTTTTATTCATAATGACAGTGGCATTGCCTTTGTCGGCTGAGAGGATGACTATATCATCTCTCTTTTTTAAATTCGCGAGTTCAGAGCGTTCATTTTTGCTGATGTTGCTAATGGTTTCTTAGCATTCTTAAGAATAGTGGCTATTTCAGCTCTCGCAACGTCTGCTTGGATGTGTCCTATGCCTTTGAGGGCTACATCGACCTGAGAGATGATATCCTCTACTGGTATATGTTTTGGGGTGACAGCAAAATTTTGCCCTTTAGCCAGTACTGTTTTTAGATTGTCTGAAATCGGGATACTACTCTGATTAATAACGATATGTGGTCCTGGGTTCTGCTTTGATAGGTGGTTGAATTTAGTGATCAGGTTAGCTTTGCATTTGACTGACAGTGAATCAGCAGAGGTAGCAGTCATGTTGTCAACGTGGTTCCAGTCAGAAGGTGACATTTTTGTATATATATTAAATGAACGCTCTGAACTCGCGAATTTAATAAAGAGAGATTATATAGTTATCCTCTCGGCCGACATAGGCAATGCCACTGTCATGGATAAAAACTCATACAACAACAAAATCCAGGACCTACTCAATGATGGGAGTTACTCAAAAATTTAAAATGACCCTACTAACAGCCTAACGATAAAATCAACAAGATCATCACAAGTTCGACTTCCCTAATCGAACCAACCAAACATCCTTCCCCAAAACCCTCCGCTGCAAGACCTCCCAGATTCTATGGTCTTCCCAAGATCCATAAAGAAGGTACCTCACTACGACCCATTGTGTCCACTATCAACTCCCCTACCTACAAGCTGGCCCGTTTTCTGTCAGATACTCTGCTTCCCTTCACTGGCAAGACCACCTCAGCAGTACTTAACCCAATTGGTTTCTATGGTCAAGGACATTGTACTGTCTCCTGACGATATCCTCGTCAGCTTTGATGTGATCTCTCTGTTCACCAAGGTCCCAGTACCTGATACCATTACAATAATTGAAGATTTGGTCCAACGTGGACTGGACCCCGATGTACCTGCGTTGATTAAACACTGCCTCACCAACACCTACTTTACTTGGAATGGCACCTTCTACAAACAAAATGAGGGTACCCCAATGGGTTCCCCCTTATCACCAGTGATAGCCAATGTTTTCATGGAGATTTGAATCAGATGCCATCGAGACATCCACCCTCAGTCCTTCCCTGTGGAATAGATATGTGGATGACACTTTCGTCATTTGGCCACATGGCCTCCCAGCTTTGAACCTTTTCCTAGACCATATCAATTCCAGACACCCATCAAATTCACCATGGAAGTGGAGAAAGATGGCAAGCTGCCATTCTTGGATGTTCTGTTTTAGAGAAGGTCTGATGGCTCTTTGGGACATTCTGTTTACAGGAAGCCCACCCACACAGACTCCTAATTAAAACCTGATTCCCACCATCACCCGACTCAGAAGAATTCGCTCATCAAAATGTTATACCATAGGGCTCATTGCAGGGCCATTGGGGGAAAGAGTCATTGCCAAGAAGGCTTTGGGGGGATGGGGGGTGCTTCATCCAGCAGTGGATTTACCATGGCTGATGATTCGCCTGGTATACAGGAGGTCGTGGCTTTGATCCCGACCCATGATGCCTGTATATTTGGAGTTTGCATGTCTCTTTCCCCATAGTCGCATGAATTTGTATCCGGGTCCTCCGGTTTTCCCCTCCACATTTAGAATCAGCATCACGCGTTTAGAGAATTTGGCTGCTATAGAAAAAATGTCCACATGATAAGCCACTTCGTTGAGCTATCAGTTGTGGCCAGGTCGCTTCGAAAAATAACTATATAGCTCAGTGGGCCTTACAAGGGTAAAATAAACAATTGTTTACGTTCCTCTCTGAAGGCAGTGATCGTATTTTAGCACATTATAACTGCTCACATTGCTTTAGAATTATAAGCTCATCTTTAATGCTATGCCCATGACTATATGTTATTGTTAGCCGTATGAAAGCTTTAATAGGGAGCACTCGGAATGTTTCAAAACTTAATCTTCAAATAGTCTCAATACATGTTCAGCATGACTGCATTCAATTTTAATCTTAAACAATACGTTACTATTGCACATTGCAGTCAGTATCCACTTCCCTATTTCATTGGAACATGTGGCAAAGATTGGGTGAGCTACGTACGGTGCGAAAGTAGTTCAACATACAACTGAAAGATTTTGACAATGCGTGAAAAAAATACATCAACCTTTGCAGAAATAATCATTTTAACACGAAGGCTTTCGCGACCAATATCCATAAGTTTTTTTTAGGTAAGATCGCGTAAATAAATAAATAAGCCGTTAAAACCCGCCACCACCCGACAGCCAACTAGTAAGGGTTGTCACGGAAACAGAACGTGGCCAATTCGTCACTAGTACAGCACACCGGTGTGTTGGAGAGCCAAGCCATAACATTTACAATCTTAGCGCTACGCTGCGTTACGAAACCGGCGACTCGTGTTCGATTCCCGCTGACGGCCACCACCGGTGACGATTATTTGAACCGGTCCTGGGCCTCCCCTAGGTCGACTCAGCCTCAAACGAGTAACTGGTGTGGTGTGTGAACATCGCCACTTGGGGAGACAAAGGCGGTCGGGCGTGGTGAATCCAAGTCCCGGGCGAAGCCGGGTAGTAAAGCTTGTACAGTATTAAAATAAATGTGCAAGAAGCCCAATTGGGGTTGCCCGGCAACCGGTAATCCACAGCGGCGTGACGTCACGGCGCGCTCACGTGACGCCCCCCCCCGCTCGAGGAGCGCGCGCACCAAGCTGGGTGGTGTAGTGCCATCCCCTCCCGTTGAGGTTCCGCGCTCTTCAGACTGGAGGTGGCCGACTCGTCTAATGGATGGAGGGTGAGAAAGCGGCAGCGACCTCTTCCTCCTCGTGATGAGGGCGGCACTGCCCACGGACGCCATTCGAGTGAGAGGTGAGAAAGGAATCGCCCTTTACCGTGTGCGTGGCTGGGTGTTTGTTGTCTTGCGCCGCCCGCCTCTGTGCTGAGCAGGTGAGAGGGGGCACTGATCATCATCAATCACTTCTGGCGGACTTGATGCCATCTCATGCCATCATCGTGCACATTGACAACACTCAATTGTGTAAGTGATGCCGTTCATCCAACCAGTTATACGACCATTGAGATTATCCTGCTTGTGTCTCTTAACATCTATGGAAAAAGAGCTGTATAGCTCATCTGATTCGTCCAGTATAAATGAAATAATTCTGATTCTGAACCAAGGTGAGAGGCCTTTGGGATTCATTATCACTTCTGATTAACATTTTACATTTACTGTTCTCATTTATCCAGGAGAGGCGCGCTGAGGCGTAGTGTTACTCGTTATCGGGAGGGTTCTTGCATTGGGATTTTATTTTGAGACGTTTTCAGACAATTCGTGACGCGAGCGTTTATTGTACATGTGGGGAGGATTGAGAGGAACCCCACGCCTTGCGCGAGGGGGCAACGCTCGATCCCCATACAGATGGAAACAGATGGCGATTAGCCTGCTTGGTGTATTGCCTTCTAGCGAGCCCAGGGTAAATGCACCTCCGAACCTTGCAGTTGTATTGAGGGACTGTGTCGTTGTCTTGGTGTGGTCTGTACGTATGCAATTAGAACGTGTATACTTTTGTAAAGCAGAGCCGACACAAGGGTTGCAGGGGATTCGTCCTTTATTCCTCTTCCCTCATCCACACCTGTCTCCAGCCGTCTCAATATCGTTCCCGCCAAAGGCCCCCTCTTCCCGCCAGTTCTCCCCTTATATCTCCTCGATTACCCCTGCCCCTTCTCTTGTCATTGTCCCACTAACCCACCTATTGGTGGGAATACTTCCCCTGACACCCCTACATCACCCCCCCCGGAGAAAAAAAAAACATCCTCGGTTCTGTCTACGCCATGGACCATTTAAGTCTCCCCATGAGCCTCCCCCCACTGACAGTGACGACCGTCCTTAACCCCCCACAACTATACAATTCAATACAACGTAACAAAATAAATTGAACGGTCTGCCCGGGTCTCCAGCCAGAGTCTCGTAACAGCCCGAGCATCCACAGGCAGCAGATGACCGCGACGGCCCCCTCCTTCGAAGGCCCTCTCGTCGCGGTCCCCGGTTCGGTGGCGCCGGTGTTGCCTTGTCTGGTGCTGCTATCTCTCCAGCCCCCGCGACCCCCGGTCGTGCCGCCTCTCCGTCAGGCCTCACATGGGGCGCTGTAGGTGACAAGGGAACACACGGCACCGAACCCCCTGCCGGTCGGCGAGTGTTGCCCGGCGACCTTGGCCCGGGTAGGGGTGATGATGATGGCGGTGACGATGGCGGTGACGATGGTGGGGTGTACAAACCATCGTCGCTTACCCAGTTGGACCTGGACGCACTGCGGTCAGAGTGCTTTAATGACCTTGACCGGCCTTTTCCAGGGTCGGTGCAGCTTTGGTGAGAGGCCAACTGGCACCTGAGGACAGTGTAGCCATGCCTGATCCCCGACTTTAAAGGGCTTGGCTGTCACTGTCCTCTCCCGTATCCGTACATTGGTCTGTAGGCTATTCACCGATGCGGCCTCGGCTGCCTGGCGGGCCTCTCTCAAATAAATGAGGGAGGCCTTTATTGCCTTGGGCCATGTGTCGGCTCTTGCGGGAATGTCCGTCAGCTGCACCTCAATAGGCGGAACAGGATCCCGTCCGTACATCAGGAAAAACGGCGAGAACCCCGTTGCCGCGTGCGGGGCCACCCTGTACACTGCTAAGACCGATGGAATGTGGAGGTCCCAGTCGGAGTGATTTTCGTCCACCACTTGGGACAGCATGGCCGCTATGGTGCGGTTAAGCCGCTCCACCATCCCATCGGTCTGGGGATGATACGGAGATGTTTGGACCTTTTTAGTGCCCAAGATAGAGCAAACGTCCTTCAATCGCTGAGAGGAAAAATTCCTGCCCTGACCCGTGAGCAACCGCTCCGGTGCCCCCTTAGCAAGGACATAGCCCCCCATGAAGGCATCGGTGATGGTCTGTGCCGTTTGGTCTGGGAGGGCCCACGCCATCGGCCACCTCTTGCAGTACTCGACACCAACCAACAGGTATTTATTTCCTTGTGGCGTGACTGGCAGTGGTCCCAGGATGTCCAGCGCAACCAATTCGTTGACCCTGGTCACCGTGATGGGCTGTAGGGGCGCCCGGCTTCCCCGGGGTGGTGATTTCCGCCGCGCGCATTCGACACAGGTAGCGACCCATCGGCGCACGTCAGCGGTCATGCCTGGCCAAAAGTTCCGACCCTGTAATGTGCACAGTGTCTTCCGCCCCGCCAGGTGCAGCAGCTGGCGGCAGTGTACGTCCATGACCAATTGTCGATGCAGCGACTCCGGAACCACCAGGCATCGCCGGCGTCCTGCCTGGTCCCACCGCATGAGGAGGTCCTCCCATACGACATACTCCTCCCGCCCTGCCTCTGCTGAGGCGCGTAGCGCTCGCTGGGGGGCTTCCTCCAGCTGTAGACGTCTCCAATCGTCCAAGGTTAGCCCCGGGTCGTGGTCGGTCAGCTAGACCTCACCCTGCGTGCCCTCTGCCGTGTGTACGGGAGCGATGACCGTTCCCGCCGGCCTCGCCTCTTTGCAGCGTGCCACGCCTGTGGTGCATGCACAAGGGCCCTGCAGCGCCAGCCGGGACAATGCGTTGGCGTGTCTGGTCCCCTTGCGATGCAATACTTGGTACCTGTACTCCTGCAGGCGCTCTATCCAGCTGGCCAGCTTGCCTGAAGGCTGGTCGATGCGGAGCGAATACTGCAAAGCCGCGTGGTCAATGCAGACCGTAAATTTGCGACCATACAGGTAGGGTCGAAATTGCTGCACGAAGTGAACGACTGCCAGGAGTTCCCTACGTGTGAGGCAGTAGCGCTGCTCCGCTAATGAAAGCACGCGACTACCGTAGGCGATAACCACCTCCCGACCCTGCTGGACTTGCGACAAGACACTGCCGATGCCCACATCGCTGGCGTCCATGTCCAGGATAAAGGGAGGCCAACAGTGGTGCATCTGTCAGACGGGAGCGCAGCTGCTGGAATGCCTCCTCCTCCAGAGGGCCCCAATGAAACCTCTGGTTCTTCGCCGTCAACACGTGTAAGGGCTTTGCAATGGTTGCGAAGTTGGGTACAAACTGGCGGTAGTAGGACACGAAACCCACAAACCTGCGTACCTCTGGAACCGTTGTGGGAACAGCCCAGGCCCTCACGCAGGCCGTCTTTTCCGGGTCTGTAGCCACTCCAGACTCACTGACGACGTGGCCCAAGTAGCGTACCGACCACTGCATAAGGTGGCACTTCGACAGCTTGAGCTTCAAGTTCGTGTTCCGGAACTGCAGGAATACCTGACGTAATAGGTCGATGTGTTCCTCGAATGATCGGCTGAAGACAATGACGTCATCCAGGTAGATGAGGCATGTTTCCCATTGGAGGCCTGCTAAGGCCAACTCCATTAAGCATTGGAAAGTTGCCGGTGCAGTCTTGAGGCCCATAGGCAGGCAGTTGAAATCGAACAGGCCCTGTGGTGTCCGGAACGCTGTTTGAGGCCGGGAGTCCACGTCTAGTGGGACCTGCCAGAACCCAGACAATAAATCCAGCGTACTGAAAAAGTTTGCTCCTGCCAGGGCGTCAAGTGAGTCGTCGATACGTGGTAGGGGATATGCGTCGTCAAGCGTGACGGCATTGAGGCGTCGGAAGTCCACACAGAATCTCAGTGACCCGTCTGACTTCTTGACTAGGACCACCGGTGCCCCCCAGGGACTTGAGGATGGAGAAATTATGTCGGCCCGCAGCATCTCCTGCACCGCTTGTTGAATGTGCCCTTTTTCCATTGGGCTCATTCTATATGTGTTTTGGCGCAGGGGTGCGGCGTCTCCCGTGTTGATGCGGTGCTGCAGGTCGAACGGTCCACTGACCAGGCGGCGGCTCACTATCCTGCGGTGCATGGTGAGATGACGGGGGATGGATGTGGATGGGCTGAAGATGGGGTTCCCCCCTTTTGAGTGTGTTGCAGCAGGGTGAATGCGCCCTTGATACGTGGTGTGGGCTCCCTCCTGGGGTGCGGGCTTGGCTCCCCATGTGGTGCGAATTTCCCCCCCTTTGTGACATAGGATGGGCCCCCCTGGTGGTGTGGGGCAGCCCCCCCCCTTTCCCGTAAGCCCACCCCTTCTCCCCTCCCCCTTTGTCGCGGGGGCATGGGCCCCCTTTATGGTGCGGCCCCCCTGGTGCTGTCTCCCTCCGCCGCATTCCGAGGGTGAGGCGGTGCGTGAAACTGCTCCACGGCGCACCGGCAATGCACCGGCAATTGTGTGTGCTGTCTAAGCCCCAGGGCCATTGCTCCTGGTGACTCGCCGACGTCGCCGGTAAATAGTGACGTCACCCGCGGTCGCGACGTCACCCCCGGCTGCGATGCCACTCCCGGCCGCGACATCACGTCCGGCCGCGACGTCACGTCCGCGACGCCACTTCCGGCCGTGACGCCACTTCCGGTCGCGACGTCACGTCCGCCCGTGACGCCACTTCCGGCCGCGACTCAGTCGCAGGCCCCGGCGTAAGCCCCGGCGCGGTCCCCGGCCCCGTTGTGAGCCCCGGCACGGTCCCCGGCCCCGGCGTTTGCCCCGGCGCTGTCCCCGACCCCAGCGCGAGCCCCGGCGTGAGCCCCGGCGCGAGCCCCGGCCCCGGCGTGAGCCCCGGCCCCGGCGTGAGCCCCGGCGCGAGCCCTGGCCTCGGCGCGAGCTCCGGCGCGGTCCCCTGCCCTGGCGCGAGCCCTAGCGTGAGCCCCGGCCCCTGGCACGAGCCCCGGCGTGAGCCCCGGCGCTTGCCCCGGCGTGGTCCCCTTCCCCTGACCAGAACGGTGGAGCCCTGGGCCCGACACCGACGGCGCCCACCCCGAGGAAGTCCCCGGTGAGGTCGCGGCATCGGCCGTGTGTATTTCCGGTGGGCCGGCGTCACTCGCCTGGTGCCTGTCGGGGTTCGGTCCTGGCGGGTTCCAGGTGGCGTTGGCTGCCCCTGGCTCCATGCGGCACCCCCTCGCCATGTGGCCCTCTCGACCACAATGGTGGCAGACCCATGGGGCGTTCTGTCGGGGTGGCTCG